CATTCGAGCATTGGCAGTACCCTTTCGCTTACCTAGGAGGAAGAAGAGTCAGGCTCACCATAGTGCATCTGGGTTACTAGAGCCAGCTGATTAGTCGCAACAAGAGCCACTAACTTCTACAACACTCTATAGTCCACTGAGTCATGTACCAAGAGTTGTACTTCATCTTAAGTAGCGTTATTTCCATTTTACAGATGATCCCAAGTATTAAACTTCTTTCATTTACTCAATTTTCAAGGGAGAAGAAACAAGGCAATTATCCCTCATTCACTTCAGGCAGAATGTGAACACTCCAGGGCATGCACTGAGGCATGCCTCAGGTGAGGCAGCCTGCACCAGGTAAGCTGGAAGATCTTAAAAAGGCGGTGTGACCTTCATCTCCCAGATCATGCTGACCTTACAAAGTGATGTTAGGATTTATAGGACGACATTCCTCAAGTATCCAGTAGGATCCTTGGCAAGGTATAGGTGCTCAATAAATGAGACCTCTTTCTACCAATACCATCAATTCCCACACCAGTGCCAACTTTCTGATTTGCACACAGAAAAACACACCAAGCATCACGGACTAAGAAAAGGGTTCAAAATAAGTCAGAATGGGGAAAGATTCTGAATCTATCCCAGTCTAGATTTAATCATCCCTCTTTCCCCCAAGTCTTGGAATAAACAGAATGCACTTACCTATACCCATATGCCTGCCCTTCCGGCGAGCCAAGGTGTTTTTCCGGCATCGAGCCCGGGAATGGACAGTCACAGGCTTCCGGATGATCAGCCCATCTTTGATCAGCTTCCGGATCTGCTGGCCTGGGAAATCACAACATACCTAGTCAGTCAGGTGGGTCCTAGTCCCACCAGTCATAACTCAAGAGTCCAAACAGGACATGACAGAGGCATGGCTCACATCCCTGGTTTTCAAAAATGGTGCAAACTGGGGACCTTCTATTTCTTTCCTAAAAAAAAAAAAAAAAAAAAAAAACCAACAAAACTTCTATCCTTTTAGATGTCTAACAGCACTCAAATATACGTATTTGGGGATATGTGATCAAAATAACATACAGATATAGCCTAGACCTTCAGATTCTGTCTCACCTATTAGCTACTAGTCTAAAATAAGGATTTTCTGAGCACATATTACAATACCACAAACCCAAACAAAAAGAATTTCCCTGATACTGACAAAGATTCCTGCTAAACTTTCATCAGCTCCTGAAGCTTCTCACAGGCCAATCTGTACACTTCCTTAAAGAATCCTGTTAAGTCAGTTCAGCCAGAAACCCCCTAACCCCTAACCTGTTTCCTCTTAGTATTTTTATTTAAAAAAATATTTATTTTATTGTAGTTGATTTAATGTTGTGTTAATTTCTGCTGTATAGCACAGTGACTGTTGTACATATATATATACACACACATATTTTCATATTCTTTTCCATTATACTTTGTCATCCTCTTAGTAATTTTTCATCCTCTGACCCCCTTCACCACGCTCCTTTGCTATAAATTCCTACTTGCCCACCCTATATTCTGCTTTGAACGTCCCAATTCATCACTTCATTTCCTTGGTCATCTCTACCTCCTGCCTCCACCCCAGTCCTTGTGCTCTCTCCAAAAATTCCTCACATAGCTATAAAACAGAACATCCACTCTAGCGATATTTATTAATGTAACACTGAGTGGCTGCCATCAACGTCCATCCTGCCGTTCTGGCAAAGGTCAGGAAGAGAACCTCTGGCAATCCATATTTTCATGACTCCTCCATTTGATGAGGAACCCCCCCCCCAAGACTGTAAGCTAGCCTATGTTAACAGTTAACATAATTGTGTCACCTTTCATTGCACAAAGGATGAGAAATGGGGAGAGTAAAGAAGGAACGCAGACCCCAAGAACTCACGGGAGTTGGCATTGGCGATTTCATTAGTCTCATTGGGGTCCAACCAGACCTTCTTTTTGCCACAGCGAAGGACGCTGGAGGCAAGCCTCTTCTGAAGCCTGAGCATACTGTGACCAACAGAAAATACTATCAGGTCCTGGAAACCATACCTGGGCAAGACTGAGCATCCCCAACACAACCTGCCCACCCTACGATAGACAACGTCTGTGGGTCTGTTTTCCCCTCTGGAAAATAAAATTAACGGATAAAACTGGAATGAAAAGGGGGCTTACGCCTTTTCTGGTATCCAGCATGAAAAATAAAGCGTTTAACATGAAGAATCTGTGGCCAGTGGACTGTTTCCTGGGCTCGTTTTCCTTTTATCTCAGCAATAAACTAGCTTCAAAAGTTTTCTTAATGATGGGTCTACGGGGCAGAAGGCATCAAAATGCTAGGACTGCCTCACTTTTGGCAGGCTTGAGGCCTATTCGCGGCCTGCCCTACGTCATATGGAAGCAGAGATGGGCTCGGAGTCAGACTGCCCCAGCGAGTTAAGGGGGCCACAGCCCAGTCCCCGCCGCCGCCTTTCCTCTGCCCCAGTGGGTCGCCTCAGACACGTGCAGGGCGCGCAGCCAGCCCTCCCCCGGCCTAGAGTTCCCGGGACGTCCCCCTACCCACCTTCCCTCGAGGCCGGGCGCTAGTGTGCTCCGGCTACCCCAAGCCCCAGGACCAGCCGCTTCAGGGAGGCCTCTGCCCTGTCTTTTCCCGTAATGGGCCGCGGTACCGAGCCCCGCAAAGTAAAAATCAACCAGGATCAGAGACTCGAGAGCGCTTACCTCATGGCCGCGGCCGCAGCGGCGAAAGGAAAGAACTTGCCCTCGCTAGGCTCCTCCCATTATCTGTGAGGGGGAGAGTCCATCCCCCGTTCCTCTTTCGCTCGTATTCCCGTCCGGTCCTTTCATATTCCGCCACCCTATACTTACGTATATATTCTGAAAAGACCCAGAGTAACAGAAGTCTAACATCAGGAGTCGGTTTTAAACTTTAAAACATGGAAAGTATCCCCCTTCGGTATGCCAAAGTGGCATAGTCCGACTTCCTATTAGGCATGCGCAGCGAGGGCACCCGATGACGTAGGTAGTGGAAGCCGGAAGTCAGCTGGATTGCGCAGGCGGGATAAAGGGGCTTTGCTAGAATGGCCTACTCCTCCCAGGTGTAGTGGGTTCTGTGGAAGGATGTTTTATTAAATGTGGGGGTGGGGTGGGGTATGAAGCAAGAGAGAATGAGCTCAGATACCAGACAAAAGCAACCTTTTATTCACTCTCTCAGTAATTGGGGAACCCTGGAGTGCAGGACATTAGTTTTTGAGCCACTGTGGTCCTTAATTACTTAGCGCCTCCATTTCCTCCTCTGTATAGTGTACCTAGTTATGATATCTAATTTGCAAAAGAAGGCGTTAAGACAAGCTCCATGATGGCAGGAACCAGTCTTGGGTTTGACTCATACAGCTTTGCACATAAGTAAGCACTTGAGAAATAGCAAGTGAGTGGAAGAATAGTTGGAAAGTCTTTTTTTAAAAAATCAAACGACAGGACCTCTCATAGTTCTTTCTTCTTGCTTTGGAGAACCGAAGGCTTTTGGTTAAGACGCCAAGGAGAACATTGCAGGGTCCAAGAAACATAAATCTGAGTTCTGGTTCTAACTCCTTGCTTTGCTTCAGCTGGTAACCCCATATCTATCATCTGAACTTTCCTGGCTGCTAAATAGAGCATGCATGCTAAGTCGCTTCAGTTGTGTCCTACTCTTGGTGACCCTTTGGACTGTAGTCCTCCAGGTTTCTCTGTCCATGGTATTCTCCAGGCAAGAATACTGAAGTGGGTTGTCATTTCCTCCTTCAGGAGATCTTCCTGACCCGGATATCGAACTTTCCTCTCTTAGGCCTCCTACATTAGTAAGTGGGTGCTTTACCACTAGGGCTAGCTGGGAAGCCCACTAAATAGTGCTGATGAGGTCCAAAAGAGGAAGGGAAAGAAATTCCCTGACGATCCAGAGGTTTTGACTCTGTGCTTTCACTGCCTGAGGGCCTAGGTTTGTTCCTTGGTCAGGGAACTAGGATCCCACAAGCAGTGTGGTGTGGCCACCCTCACCCCCCCCCCCAAAAAAAAAAATTAAAAAGAGGAAGGGAAGCAAAATTTATGCCACTTTCTCAAAATAGAGAAACTGAAAACCCAGGTCTTTCTACAAAACCCAGGCCTTCTCTGTCATGCCAGGCTCTCTTGTGTCCAAGGGAAAGATGGGAGCCCTGCTTAGGGTTGGATCTTAGGGCTGACCCACACCTGTTGGAAAATCCAGGGTGAGAAGGAGGAGTCGGTGTTTTCCACAGACTTCCCTCCAGCAGAACACAGCAGGTTGGCTTATTCTATTTTACTTTTTAGCAGCACGGGTTTGCAGGCTCTTAGTTCCCCAGTCAGGGATTAAACCTGGGCTTCCCTGGTGGTTCAGGTGGTAAAGCGTTTGCCTGCAGTGTGGGAGACCCAGGTTCGATTGCTGGGTCAGGAAGATCCCCTGAAGAAGGAAATGGCAATCCACTCCAGTACTCTTGCCTGGAAAATCCCATGGACAGAGGAGCCTGGTAGGTTATGGTCCATGGGGTCGCAAAGAGTCGGACACGACTGAGCGACTTCACTTTCACTCAGCAGTGAAAACATGGACTCCTAACCACTGGACTGCCAGAAAACTCCCAGCTTGGCTTATTTTAGAGTCATTGAACCTGGGCAAATCTTCATTCTACTTCTCATTTCTCTTTTTTGTGGAGCCCGGGAAGGGATCAAGTAAGGTGGTAACAGGTCCTCCTGTCAAAATTGACACTCTCCCCTCCCTTCCCCACCCCATCCCACCCCACGCCTGCCCTGCACAGCATCTTACAGCATCTCCAAACATCTCAGAAACCCATAATTTAATTTCCTCTTCCTCCCAAAAATCCCAGGTGATAGACACCCCACAGTACCAGCAAACCCATTTTACAGGAGAGGTGTACTGATGTGCCCAGATCCACACCACCAGAAAGAGCCTGAACCAAATTGGCACTAAGGCCTCTTGCCAGAATTCTCTACTCTTTTTAGCTTCATAGATCATGGTGCTTGGGGTCCAGGCCTTGGATATCTGTCCCCAAATAAGGGATGAAGGGGGAAACGATTCCAGGTCACAGGTCATTAGATCTGATTTTCGCCACTCTCCAGTGTCAGCTCCACATTTCTTTCTCCTCTTCCCTCTACCCAGGAACACAGACCTCACCCAGGCCCACCCCTGGCCTTTTGGAAAGGCTTGGGGGATAGATATTAGCGCTAGGGCAATAGGACTCCTGAATCCCTGGGATTTCTTGTTGCTGTCTCTGCTGAACTCCGTTTGGACACCCTCCCCACCCCAGCTTCAGCCTCCAGCCATCCAGCACCAACCTATTGGAGAGGGAGGGGCCTTTCTGTTTGGCTCAAGGCGGCCTGGGACAAAAGTGGGGAGAAAGGAGTTAAAGCCGGGTCCCAGGATCACCAGGGCTGGGAAGTTCCGGTGGCCCAGCCTGGAATGGAATGGGGAGACCAGCTAGGAAGAGCGGTTTGGGACGGAAGCAGGGGGCGGTGCCAGCCACGCTAATCCGCGCTTCGGTTCCATCCGCGCGTGGCATCCACTGGTAAACCTCACCCCCGCACCCCACCACCCTCCGCCCTCAGCCCCTTGGCAAGGTTTCTAATGTCCCCCAGAGTGGCCACCCTCACCCTAGGCCAGTCGGAGACCTGAGCTCGCCGGGAGAGGCGTGCGTCTCTGCAGCCTCCCTCCCATTGTCTGTGCGGAGCAAGCGGAGGGGCTGCGAGGGGCGGGGCCGCGACTGGCGGAGGGAGGGAGGGAGGGAGGGGCGGGTGGGAGCCGAGGGGGCGGGGGGAGATGCTGAGCCTTCAGGGGCGGAGGAGGCGGCGGCAGCAGAGAGAGCGGGAGGAGGGAGGGAACGCAGGAAGAGGGCAACCGAAGGCCGGGCCAGGTGGCTGGACCGGGTGCTGGCTACGCTGCTCTCGGTTCCGACGGCCTCTCTCATGCGTTGAGGGCGCCCGGCTGGGCCGGGCCGGCGGCCGGAGGGGAGGCTCCTCTCCATGGTCCAGAAGACCAGCATGTCCCGGGGCCCTTACCCATCCTCCCAGGAGATCCCCATGGAGGTCTTCGACCCCAGCCCGCAGGTGAGGTGTGATGGCCGGGATCGAGGGAAGGGGGCTGCTCCCGTGGACCTGGTGGGGTCGGATCGAGAGGGGACCGGGGAGAGAGGGGTTACATGCCCGGAGTGGAGGGGATAAGGCTCTGCGCCCCCCATCCCTGCCAGTGAATGATTGATAGGCGCTTGGCTGGGAGTTGTGCTGCGGTTTTGCAGAGCGGGGAGGGGGCGGTCGGGCCGCCTGTCACCCTCTCCTCCTCCTCTCCCCCGCGTCAGGGGCTTTGCTCCTTGGGTACCGGCTCCAGTGGGTTAAGAGTGTGGGTGCTGGCGGCGGGATCCGGGGGTTGAAGGAGGCTAGAGAGCGAGCTCAGGCAAAGGGGGCGACGCAGAGCACGCTCAGGGGCTCCGGGCGGGTGTGGGTGGAGTGGGGGTGGCACTGGGAGATGGCCGAGGCGGTGGTCAGAGGGCGGTGCCAGCAGGCCTTCAGAGCTGCGGACACTGGCCCTCGAGGGTGGAGAAGGGACCAGCACCGAGCTAGGCCCCCGTCCCAGCCACTTCAGTTCCACCTCTATATTAGACCACCTCCCCTCCCCCGACACCAGTGTTAGCCCTTCCCTACCCATCCCCCTAGCCCCAGAAAACGCCTCCAAAGTTTGGAAAGTTGGATGGATGCCAACTCACTGTCCTGGAGGGGAAGAAACTGTGTTACCTGGTGGGGGGGAGGCGGGGGGGTGCGGAGGGGTCTGCCGCCCCACCCCCACTCACACTTTTCCTGTACCCACTGGTTACCACCAAGAAGGGATATTCTTGGGGTGGAGGGTGCTGGTGGAGTGACCAACAGAGTCTGGGGTGGTCGTGCCCAAGAATTTCTCTGGGACATGTCCTTTTCCATTCTGGCAACACCCCAAGGCTAGGATAGCATTAACTCTTTTCTTGCTGTGGCCAGCCTGGAGCAACTGTAACCACCATGATAGTATGGTTGATGGGCACGTGGGGGGGGGGGGGAGGATGTCAGATCAGACCTAAAAATACTTCCTTTCTCCACCCCAGGCCCCTTGGAGCCTGGGAGGCAGCTGACTGGGGCCTTCCTTTCAGCTGTCCCTTGTCCCTCTGAGTGCCACTCCCTTTTCCTAGCCTGGGATAGTGGTGATGTTGTGAAAAAGAGCTTTGTGCTCACTGGGGGAATCCTCTTAAATTCATAGGGATCCTCAATTCTAGAGGTTGGATATATATCCGGTTCGAGAGAAGGTGAGGGAGGGAGGATTCTTGAAGGGTCCCCGGGTGTCTTGCCCATCTATCCATCCATCTCCTTGTACTCAAGCCCAGGGAACCAGAGCCTCTAGTCTGGTTATGGCTTATCTAGCTTCTTTGGCAAAGAAACTCTGGGATGGAGGTGGTAGACAGCGGCTTGGGGGGCCTGGACCCTCAATCATCCCCTCTCACTCTAGATTGCCTGGGGGCCGATGTGTATATGTGAGTTGAGGAGGGCAAAGAAGCAGCCCCCTTTCCAGGAGGCCTGGAAATACACGAATCGGTGGCTTCTTGAGAGGTCAGGCAGTGTCCACACCACCCAAGCCAGGAGCCCAGTCAGCGGGACTGGGCCCGGCTTCCTGGAGGCCCTGCTGGGGCTGTGTCCTCAGTTTCTCTTGGGGGAGGGCCAAGGGGCATTTAGATTATGCAGCCTGGTGGGCATCATGGGACAGGACGTGGGCAGTGGCAGCTGAGGGCTAGAGGGCTTGATGTCTCTTGCCCCCTTGGGAAGAGGTATGATCACTGTGATTGTGAAAAGGGGGCTGAAAAAAAGTCCTACCAGGATGAGGGGTGTGCTAAATCTGCCCCCATGGGTCGAGGTTAGGGTTAAATATTTACTTTCCAAATACAGTTTCATGTCCCCTCCCCTCCTCCCTAGAAATCTAATAGTTTTAGGTCTCCAAGACCAGAGAGCTGCAACTCCCCTCCCCACTCTGCAAAAAACAAGGCAAGAGTTGGGCTCAGGAAAGCCAAGCTGGGCCTGGGTTGGCGATTCCTCTTCTCTCTGGGGGCTATAGGCACACTCAGCCCCGTTCTGCTCCAGCTGAAGTGGAGAGGGAGGGGTCCTTTCCCCGGGGGCTCTCTCCACACCCCCAGCACTGCAGGCAGTCTCTCCCTTCCCCCCACCCCAGGCCTCTGCAGCCTGCCCAGCATCTTAATTAGCTTTGCTGCCTAATGAGCTTCCAGCTTCTCAGCACCTCCCCCTTCCCAACCTCTGACTTGGCTTGGGGGTTTCTGTGTGTGCTTCCTAGGGCTCTCTTGCTCTGTCCCCCACCCCATGTCTGTGGTCTGGGCCCTCCCTCTCCCTCGGGCTGTACCATCTCAGGAAGAAAATGGAGGGGCAGGCTCTTGAGATCAGGGAATGATATTTCCAAGGCTTGGCAGTAGTTCTGGACTTCATGGGGTGAGGGTTGGGCCAGGGTCTTTGAGATTCTACTCTTGTCCCTTCCTGGCTTCTCCAGGGCAAATACAGCAAGAGGAAAGGGCGGTTCAAAAGGTCAGATGGGAGCACATCCTCGGATACAACATCCAACAGCTTTGTCCGCCAGGTAAATGGGGAGGCTGGGTTGAGAGGAGGGAGGTGGCTGGTTGGTGGAGATCAGGATTGGTGAGCTGGGTCTGAGGCTTTCTCCAGGCACCCTCCCCCAGTCATTTGTTACCTGCCTAGAACCACCCCATCACCCTTACACCCCATGACCTCCTCTGCATATACTGTCAGCTGTACCCACTCCCTCAGCCCCCGCCCAGCCCCTCCCCCAGCACCAGGCACCAGCCCCTGCTGCCTGCCTGCGTCATCTCATTCAGGGACAGCCTGGCCTGCCTCCTTCTAGCTTGCTTCAGGCTGTCACCCACTCCCCCTGCCGGCTGTCTTCTTCCCTGTCCTCCCCCAGAATCTGTGACAGCATGGGGTAGAGGGAGGTCCTACGAAATGAGGAGCCAGGACATTTGGGTCCCTGGAGCCCTGATTAGGTGTGGATCAGGGGAAACGCCCTCCTCACATCCAGTTGTGACTGTTCTTTATTTTTTTTTATTTTTTTTGGTGACTGTTCTTTAATATGCAGAGAGAATATGTGTTGAGGGGGTGGAGGAGAGGCAGCAGGAAGTTGATTTTAGAGAGGACTTCAACCCAGCACCCCTGAATGAAAGGGCAGGGGGTATAACTGAATGGCCTTCTGGGGTATTCTGTTCTCAGTCAGGAAGTTGCCATTCTCATCTCTGTTCTAACTCTCAGCCCCAGCCCATCTCAGGCTCAGGGAGAGGCAGTGAGAGAGCCGTGTGGTTGCTATGACTACAGAGCATCTCAGCAAAGCCTGGGACCCAAAAAAGGCGAGAGGGGCTTAGGATCAGACAAGGAAGGAGGACATCGAAGAAAACATAGGCAGGCACATGAGGACAGAGGGCAGTAGGAAAGTCAGCCACCCCCAGGCCAAGAGAGAGAGGGTGATGCAGGCAGATCCACTACTGATTGGAGTGAGGCCCTTCTTTTTGATTCTTCTGTCTCCACAACACTTGGCACTCGAAAGCCCAGGCCTGACTTGAGAGGGTCAGGAAAGGGACCTTTCGTCCCAGGATTCCTAAATACACATACAAATGGGAACTCCTTTCTTTGATCTTTCCCTCATCCCTTGTGTGTGTTGTAGGACTGGGCCAGGGCCAGGGCCAGAGCTAGGAAAAATGACACTGTGCTCAGTGGAGCCCCTCTTGACAGAAAAGGGCCTCATTCCTTCAGTGTTGGCCAACCTAGGGGATCAGACCCCAGTTTCCAATCCTTTTTCCGCTCAGCTCCCCAGCTCTGACCCCCAGTAGGTGGCAGGGAGTGGGGGGGCAGGCCTTGCCACATCTCTGAGCTAAATATACCCTAGCAGTTTGCACATGTAGCAACTCTGCTTGTAACCTGAGCCCCCTGGGGGAACGGGCAGTTTGGGCCACCCCCTAGGCCAGCAGGGCCAGGCTCTGAGGGCGCCGGGATGGAGGCGCCCAACCAGACCCTCGTAGTGGTGAGCTGGGGATGGAGTGAAGGTGGGGGTGGGGGGTGGGAGCAGCCCCTCAGGAAAGCTGGTGGGAGGCCTTCACTCCAGCCTGTTTCCTTGCCTTCTCACTATTTCCTTGTCTCCCGCCATTTCTGGTATGCACGCATTTGTGTGTGTGTGTGTGTGTGTGTGTGTGTGTGTGTGTATTGGGGTCAGTAAGTGCCTCTCCCTCTCCATCTCTGGGTCTGTTCCTCTGGCTCTCCTGGTGGCTGTCTTCCTGACTCTGAGTGCTCAGGAGGGATAAAGAGTAGTTGATTCACTGGTTTTCACTCTTTCCTTTGTATCGCTTTTCCAGCTTCTATGAAAACCCCACCCCACCCCCTAGTTTTCCTCTCAGAGTCTCCCATTTTCCTGACTTGGCTGGGAAACAGATGGGCCGCCACACTGGCTGATGACGAGGGCGCTCTGGGGAGATGGGACTTGGTCTTCTTTCTTTCCGAGGTCCCCTCCATACCAGGCTAATGGGCATTCCTGGCCAAGTGACCCCTTCCTGTCTTCAGAAAAAAACCCTCCCACCCCTGCAGTCTTACCCTTTCATCACATCCCCTCCTGCCCTTTGTAGCAATAAATGCATGCCTTCTGGCTCTCATCCTCACGTGCCCTTGGGACGCAGACACTGAGGGTGCCCCCTGCCCCTGCACTGTAGGCACACACATGGATCAGTATGCATTCAGTCATGCACCAGGACATACCACGGAGCACACACTCCCAAACAGTCTTGAAGTTGCACATCCAAGCACACCCGTGAATGAGCGTGTTCATTCACCTCCTGGGCTATGTGTGCCTTCCATATGTGTCTGCGTTGCTGACGGAGTTCCTTGTGCCCTGGGATGGTCCGTGTGGTCAAGGCCAGCTTCCTGGCACACCCAGACTTCTGAACCCGCCTTAATGCTGGCAGTTGGCTGCCCCAATACAGGGGAAAAGCCTGCTCGTGTTCTTCTCTTGATGTATTTCTCCTGTCTGCCCCACCCCAGGAACCTTGGGTTCTTTTTTGTATCTTCTAAGAGCCTAAGGGTTGGGGCTTTCCAGCTTCTGGCAGGGGAGGTAGGATTCTATCTTCCCTAGCTCTTGAGCAGAAGGTGGCAAATTTTTGTGTGGCCCTAGTACATGGAGCAGACTGCCCATGGCCACCAGTGCAGAGGGCTCAGACCTAAGCTGGTGGCTGTGGCCCCTGGAAGGACTCACTGGGCCTGTGCTGAGTCTGTCTCAGCGGGTTCCGGGGGCAGGGGAGGGAAGGAGGAGCAGGGAGTGGAGACTGACCCTTGGCACTCCGCCTCTGCACTGCACCCTATCAGGTTCCCACCCCTCCCTGGGCCCCAAGCAGCTGTCCTTGGACCTGCCATAATTCCCTGCTTGTTGCTATCACCCTTTCTAGGGCCACACTCTTCCCAGGGGTCTGCAGACCTCATTCTCAGGCTCTTCCTGTATAATACCACCTTCTCCTAGCCCTTGTGGTCTCACGCTGGTGCCTTCTGCGGCCCAGGAGCTGGGGAGGCGGCATTGGCCCTGAGCTGGCCCTGTCTGTTTTCAGGGCTCAGCAGAGTCCTACACCAGCCGTCCGTCGGACTCTGACGTGTCTCTGGAGGAGGACCGGGAAGCCTTAAGGAAGGAGGCAGAGCGTCAGGCATTAGCCCAGCTAGAGAAAGCCAAGGTGAGAAAGATGGGAGGGGCTGTGCTGGCACTGTTTGCCTTACCTCATGCCTTAGAGACAGCCTGGACAGACCCGAGTCAGGTCTTGGCCCAGCCACTTCCTGGTGGATGTATGCCTCCCATGTGCCTCTGTCTTTCATCTGTAAAGATGCAAGCTATAATACCTGCCTCCTTATAAAGCGTAATAAGTGCTTAAAACTGTTTCCACACATAATAGGAGCTAAACATTTCCACTCTTTCTGGGTTGACTCTTATTAGCTGTGAGATCTTAGGCAATTCACTTAACCGTTCTGAACTTTAGTTTTCCCATTCATTCAGGTGAATATGATAATAGCACTTTGTAGAATTTTTGTAATGAATAAATAAGATAATGGATGTGAAACATATAACACAGTGCCTGGCACACTAAACAGTAGCTGCTATCATTATTACTCCTATCTATCATTATTACTACTATCTATTATTATTACTACTATGACTATTCCTTCTTGGTGTCATTCTGGGGTCCCCCACCACCTATACTTATTCCCTGATGCCCCCCTCCATCCCGAGAGGACTGAGTTCTGTTTTTTGCTTTTTTTTTTTTTTTACTGTGAAATTTAATATACACATAAAAAACTGCATAAGCCATTCAGTGTATACTTTTGTTTTTTTAATAGCTTTTTTTAATGTATAGTTGATTTACAGTGCTGTATTAGTTTCAGGTGTACAACAACGTGATTCAGTTATACATGTATATATATTCTTTTTCAGATTCTTTTTCATTATAGGTTATTACAAGATTTTGAACATAGTTCCCTCTGCTATACAGTAGGTCTGTGTTTACTTTGTATATAGTAGTGTGTATAATGTGTATCTTAAAAGAAAAACAAACCTCTCCATGATCACCACCCCAGTCAGGAAGTTGTACATCCCATCGTGATTTCACTCTCTGGTTGTCATCCACCCTGGGTGCCTCCTCTAGACCAAGCCAGTGGCATTTGCTGTGAGGACAAATGTCGGCTACAACCCATCTCCAGGGGATGAGGTGCCTGTGCAGGGAGTGGCCATCACCTTCGAGCCGAAGGACTTCCTACACATCAAAGAGGTGGGGAGAGATCACTTGGCATCTGGAGGGAGGGCAGTGTAGTGTGTGCCAGGAGAGGGGCAAGTCAGAGCTCTGGTGGAGAAAGACTTCTAAACCAAGCAGAGCTGGGCTAAATCTGCTCTGTGATCTTAGACAGATCTTTCCACTACTCTGAGCTTCATATTTTTCATTGGTAACGTGCGATGGTAATACCTAGGTTGCGGGGCTGTTGGGAGGGTTTGTGAAGAGGCCTGTCGGTGGAGTGGTAGTGTGCCAGGCACATGGAGGTGTCAGCATCTGCTTCGCTACCCACCTTTCCAGGGTAGAGCTGACCCATGGCGGGAGGAAGGACTCTCAGAACAGGGATGTGTTTGGGGGTGGGGTGCTCCAGGGCACAAGAGGATGCTGGTCCTGGAGAGCCCTGAGAATTGGGAGCTGTATGCAGAGGCTGGTGCTGAGGCTCTTTGAGGGTGCCATCCCCTGGGCAGAGAAGGCAAGACTGGGGGGTGGTATCTCCTGGAGCTGGCTGCTGGCTTGTACCTCTAATCTCCTTCTTGGTCTCCCCCACCCCACCTGCCGTTGTTGTTTGCAGAAATACAATAATGACTGGTGGATCGGGCGACTGGTGAAGGAGGGCTGTGAGGTTGGCTTCATCCCCAGCCCTGTCAAACTGGACAGCCTGCGCCTGCTGCAGGAACAGAAGCTGCGCCAGAACCGCCTCAGCTCCAGGTGTCTGGCTGGGGGCGGGGCACTCCCACCCCTGGGAGAGGCCAGCCAGCCAGGAGTAGGCCCCAAGGGTTGACCTAATATTCTGAGGACATAGAGTGGCCCGAGGCCTCACCCGTGGGGCTGGCGAAGGAGGACCGCGGAGGGGGGCGGGACAGCCTGTGAGAGCACAAGATCCCCCGCCCTCACACCCGCCTCTTTGCTCACGGCCCGGCCCGTCTGCCTTTCTGCCTACACAGCAAATCAGGTGACAACTCCAGCTCCAGCCTGGGAGACGTGGTGACTGGCACCCGCCGCCCCACGCCCCCTGCCAGTGGTAAGAGCGGCCGCCACCCCACGGGTGGGGTGGTCTCCCCATTGCCTGTCCCTTCCTTTCCCTGCAGTAAGGGGTATCCCAACCCTGAGTCCTCCAAACACATCCAGTGGTACCCCCTCCATGAAGAGCAGGGCACCCCACAAGCTGGGCTGGTCAGTCAGCACCCACTCTCTCATGTCTGTCCTCTCCCATTTCTTCGGTAGCTCCATCTCTCCTCCTGACTCCCCCGCCCCCTACCCGCCCCCCCCCCCCATTCATTTCTCCCAGCCCTGTTCCATTCACCTCTTCTTCTTTCTTTTTTCCCCATCCCATCCCTGCGTTCTGTACTTGTGTCTCCATGTCCATCTCACTCCTCCCCACCTCGCCTCCTTCCTTCCTCAATCCTGACTCTCCGGTCCAGGTAATGAAATGACTAACTTAGCCTTTGAACTAGACCCCCTAGAGTTAGAGGATGAGGAGGCAGAACTCGGGGAGCAGAGCGGCTCTGCTAAGACTAGTGTTAGCAGTGTCACCACCCCGCCACCCCACGGCAAGCGCATCCCCTTCTTCAAGAAGGTAATTCTTGCTGGGTTCTTGTGAGAGGGGAGGTCAGGGCCCAGCTCTTTGGTGGGTGGAGGGGGGCTGGAATGGATTCAGATGTGGTATCAGCCTGATTTTGTGGGGATCAGGCCTTCCTGCCGAGGAGGAGGGAAGGGTAGAGTGGCACCAAGAATGGGCACGTCTGTCTCCATACACAACCCCACCCTGGCCCTCTTCCCTGGAAGGGATGGTTCTTGCCATGGAAGCAGCCCTTCTAGCCCCCGCCCCCCAACTGAAAGCAGATCTGGTTATAATGAAACCTGACGTTTCCCCCTCACTACCAGTGGCATAGTCCACGTTTGCCCTCGCCCCCACACATGAAAGGGAGAGTGGAATGGTGACACTTCTTTGCACTTTTTGGATCCCATGGGGTGCCCAGGGATCTCCTGGTTGCAGAGCAAGACAGTTAAGGGAACCCTTACAATGGGCAGGTTGGCCTGCACTGGGGCCAGGAGATGGGCACCAAATGAGGGCTATCACTCTTCCCAGCTTTTTTCCCAGACCCAGAAAGGGGGTAGAGGATGTCTGAATATTCCCAAGTTCACTGGACTGGCTGTCAGTCCCACTCCTGGCCCTGATCCAGGGCCATCTCTGGCTCCCCCTTGGCATGGGGTCCCATCCCCTCTCTCTGGCTCTGTCTGTCACTAACACGCATGCCCTGTTATCTCTCCTCGTCCGCCCGCTCTCCCTCCCTCTCTTGTCCTGGCTCCTCCCTTGCCCTCTGCCCCTGCCTGGGTACCCTCCCCTTTCTCCTCCCCCTCCCCCATCTTGGCAATCTCTGGACCCAGCCAAACAGAAGCAGAAGTCGGTGAGTAGCACAGCTTTCTATGTCTCCCTCCCCACTCCCTGGGATGAGCTAGGGGACCTTCTAACACCCATTCCCATATCTGCCCCCATTCCCCCCCCACCCTTCCTGGTTCTCCCTTGCCATACCTCCCCACCCCCACCCTGATCCCCCACATCTGGGCTTTGGGACCAGGGGGAGGAAAGACTGCATGGGGGAGCCTGGAGACGGGGGGAAAGGGGCTAATGCTATCTCCACTCTGGGGTTTCCCCTCCCTGCTTCCCCCCAGACAGAACACGTGCCCCCTTATGACGTGGTACCTTCCATGAGGCCCATTATCCTGGTGGGACCATCGCTCAAGGGCTATGAGGTAGGAGCCTCTCGAGGGGCATAGGGACCAGAGGGGCCCAGACTTCCAGAAAGACTGTACGGTCTTGAGACTCCAGAGACATCCCCCAGCAGGGTCTTCCCAAGGTTTCCTCCCCAGAGGGCTACAGACCTTCAGAGACCACTCCCCTCCCCAGGGGGGCCCGAACCCATGGGGAGACCCACTCAGAAGGGTCTAGTCTTCTCAAAAATCCCCAGAAAAGTCCTCCTAGAGATTCTACCTGAAAGGATCTCTGGAATCAAAGACCCCGGTGGAGGCCCCTCAAACTCAGAAGGATCACTTCCTCCCCTGAACAGGGACTCGTTCATCTCAGTGATTAAAGAAGAAAATGGAATGTCAGGGGGCAAATACCTAGCAGTCTACCCTTCTTGAGAGCTTTAAACACCTGACTTCTCCTCCTCCTACTCCACCCCCTCCCAACCTCAGGTTACAGATATGATGCAGAAAGCTTTATTTGACTTCTTGAAGCATCGGTTTGATGGCAGGTAAGCCCTTCTGAGCTGGCTCCCCACGCCCACCATGGTTCTCTGCTGCTGGGGTTGGGCAGGATGGCTTGAATGACAATCCTGGAACTCTTGGACTGAGGGCTATGGGGCAAGCCTGGAGCCTAGGGAGGAGGCAGGACATTTTAGCCCACCCTGACCCCTGACACTTTGCCCTGCCCCCTAGGATCTCCATCACTCGTGTGACAGCGGACATTTCCCTGGCTAAACGATCAGTCCTCAACAACCCCAGCAAACATATCATCATCGAGCGTTCCAATACACGCTCCAGCCTGGGTGAGCCCATCCCTTGACTCCACCCCCACCCTGCTCTGGGGCCAGATGTGGGAGTGAGGGGGCATCTCCAGAAATGTTCTATCTGCCCACTGCCTCCTGGGAGGCTTCCTTACATTTACCCCTTCTCCATGACTCCACTCCCCTAGCTGAGGTTCAGAGCGAGATCGAGAGAATCTTTGAGCTAGCCCGAACCCTTCAGTTGGTTGCTCTGGACGCCGACACCATCAACCATCCAGCCCAGCTCTCCAAGACCTCACTGGCCCCCATCATTGTTTACATCAAGATCACCTCTCCTAAGGTGGGTACAAGACCCTACTGGGGACAGGAGTGCTCTGGGTGGGCTGCCGGTGTTTAAGTCCCAGGTACTGCTTACTAATCATGTGACTTCACCTCCTCAAGCCCAGATTCCCTTCTCCATCAAGCTCCATTGTCTGGATATTGTGAAGATTCAGCCTAATGTGAATACTTAGCACTTAGCAAATGGTCTGGTATAATGTACCTCATCATGTATTAAGTATTTTAAATATTATTATCAGAGTTGTGCAGGTTAGTCCCCTGTCTCTGCTTTGTTGACCTCCCATCCTTAGTCCAGAAAATAGAAAGGATTCTGTGTGTTCTGCCTCAGTGTCACCCAGCTACTTGGCAGTTGGAAGAAGACCTCTCATGTCTTTTTTTTTCCCTTCTGTCTTTTTATTTCAGTCCTTTTTGCTGTACTGCCCTCATTCAGACCTTGATAGAGATGAACTTAGTAGGAAGACTGATTTACTTCTTTGTCATATAGCAGCTCCATTAGTTTCCCCCCATAGACATTAGTGGTTTTGAGAAACATGGAAGGTGAGCTAAGTTGAAGGATTTTTTAAAATGTTTCTATATTTATTTGACTGCTCTGGATCTTAGTTGTGACATGCGGGGTCTTTAATTGTGTCATGTGGGATTTTTAATTGCGGCATGCAAACTCTTAGTTGTAGCATTGGGATCTAGTTCCCTGACCAGGGATGGAACCGAGGCCCCTTGCAGTGGAGTGCAGAATCTTATCTAGTGGATCACAATGGAAGTCCCTAGGTGAAGGATTTGAAGTTAGAAGACAGCATGAGGTTCAGATCCTAGCTCTGAGTGGCTTATTTTAATTAATTAAAGTTTGTTGTTGGTTTTTTGGTTGTATTGTATTGAGCTTTGGATCTTGGAGAGATAATTTAGCTTTCGCACAATTTTTTCACCTACAAAATGGGAATTATAATCCTTCTCTTGAGGTAGTGATGTAAAGAGCCCAGAGTTCTGTCTGACTGATGAAGGCAGTCAGGGGTTAACATTGCATGATAGCACCCTATGAGCTAAGCACCCAGTTTCTAATGAGTATAAAGGGGAGGATGGGACTTAAGTACTTTCTGAGGTGGTTGAAAGGATCAAATGAGATAATGGATGCAAAAGCACTTTGTGAACTAGAAGTAACACACACTTCCATTGCCCTCACTGAGCACTGACTGAGGTTAGGGGTGGGGACTCTGAAGCCAGGCTGCCTGGGTTTATGTTCCACTGTTGCCACTTACCTACTGGCTCTCTGCTCTTTGGGCAGGTCACCTGACTTCTCTATGCCTCAGTTTCCTCATTTGGAAAATAGGAATCCTCAGGTGATGTTTGTGAAGATTAAATAAACAAATTAACCATGCAAAGTGCCTGGTACCTATTAAGTGCTATATGTGTTCAATTCTTGAAGATTTTTATTTTGAAGTAATTTCACATTTATAGGAGAGTTGCAGGAACAGTACAAAGGATCACCTTTGAATACCCTTGACTCAGACTCACCAGTTTTTTAATGGCTTTTTGGAAGTAGAATTCACAGGCCATTCAGTTCAGCCAATTAAAGCATACAATTAATTTTTTTCAGACTCACTAATTTTGAACATTTTGCCACATCTACTTTAGGGCTTCCCCCATGGCTCAGCAGGTAAAGAACCTGCCTGCAGATGCAGGAAATGTAAGAGATGTGGGTGTGATCCCTGGGTCAGGAAGATCCATGGAGGAGGGCATGGCAACCCACTCCAGTATTCTTGCCTGGAGAATTCCCATGGATAGAGGAGCCTGGGGGGGCTACAGTCCATAGGGTCACACACAGTCAGACACAACTGAAGTGACTTAGCATGCACACACTTTATGTATGTCTGTATTATGTATATATGTGCTTATATATATATGTGCTTTTATATATATATATATATATATCTTTCTTCTTGAACTGTTTTAAGTTGTAGCTATTGTACTTCTTTATCCTTCAAAATTTCAACATGTATTTCTTAAGAACAAGGACATTAACTTACATGTCAAATTCAAGAAATCTCATTAAAATACTGTCTATCTTCAGTTTTCACCAGTTGTCCCAAAAATGCCCCTTATAGCAATTTCCCCTTTAATCCAGGATCACGTGTTGCATTTAGTTGTTATATCTCTTTAGTATTTTTTCTTCTTTATTTCATTTTTTTTTCTCCTTAGTAATCTTTAAGCTAAAAACTTTCCTGAGCTTTTCTTCTATTCTCATGAGACTATCATTTTTGAAGAGTACAGATCACTTATTTTGTAGACTGTTGCTCAAGGTGGGTTTGTCTGATGTTTCCCTGTCAACACATTGAGGTTTTGCATTTCTGGTAGGAATACTACCCAAGTGATGTATACTTCTGAGTGCATTCCATCGGGAAGCAAAGGATGTTGGTTTGTTGTATTGTTGGTATTGTTAATTTTGACCACTTAATTAAGGTTGTAGCTTTATGTTTAGCTATTATCATCATTATTATTGTTATCCTTGAGATAAGGATTATAATTGTGGCTGCCTAATGGCATTATTGTCAGGACTAAATGAAAAAAAGGACTTTCCTGGTGGCACAGTGGTAAAGCATCTGGCTGGCAATGTGCAAGTCATGGGTTTGTTTCCTAGGTCGGGAGGATCCCGGGAGAAGGGAATGGCAACCCACTCCAGTATTCTTGCCTAGAAAATCCATGGACAGAGGAGCCTGGCGGGCTACAAGTCCACGGGGTCGCAGAAGAGTCGGACACAACTTATCAACTAAATAACAACAACAAAATGAAAAAAAGCACAGACCAGTGCCAAGGCATAGCAAGTGTCCCTATAAAGGACGGCTGCCTGTTATTAACATGGAGGGGAAGTTGACTCAGAGAATGAATGAAACCTGTAACGAAGGTTACAGGGGTTGGGAAGGAGAATCACTGCCCTTCATACAATTACCGTTGGAATGTCCCAGGAGAGGCTGGCATGAGACCCAGGAGAGAGCCTGAGCTTTGTGTAGGATGGACACAGGGCTGGTGAGGTCACTTCTGAAAAGGCATCCAGGGCTGAGCGTCATGGAATGTTCCCCCGGCCCTGATACTGTCTCTCCACATTGGCTCCAACCAGGACCTGACTCTCCAGGTTGGTGCTTTGCAGGGTCCCTCTAGCCCCTCTTTTCCCCCTACCAAACAGGTTCTTCAGAGGCTCATCAAGTCTCGAGGGAAGTCTCAGTCCAAACACCTCAACGTCCAAATAGCGGCCTCAGAGAAACTGGCCCAGTGTCCCCCCGTGAGTGCTCAAAGGGAAGGGAGGGCATTTGGGTTCTCCTGGTTTCCTCTGGCCTGCCGAGAGAGTGACCAGGAACACCTGGATCCAGTCCAGAGGTGCAGATGGATTTTCTGGGAAAAGAGGGCTGGACAGGCAGTTAGAGACTGCGTTTAAGTCCCAGAAGCATCACTTCTCTATGGAGAGTTAGGCCCCTCTCCACGCCTTGGCTACCTTATATATAGAATGAGGGAACTGTAATATCTAGGTGCCAAGATCTCGTTATATATATTTACACTTGATCTTAGCCAAAAGGCCTAGAATTGATCCTTATATATATTTAATTTACATATCTGAGAGCCCTCCTCTTCCTGAACATCCAGAGATTTCTTTTTAACTTTGTCCTTCAACCCCTCGACTCCACCCACTGCCCCCAGGCCACACCCTCACCCCTTGGTCACGCCCAGCTCATCCCAGCCCTGCCCTTAACCCCGCCTCCACAGGAGATGTTTGACATCATCCTGGATGAGAACCAATTGGAGGACGCCTGCGAGCACTTGGCAGAGTACTTGGAAGCCTATTGGAAGGCTACACACCCGCCCAGCAGCACTCCGCCCAATCCGCTGCTGAACCGCACCATGGCTACTGCAGCCCTGGCTGCCAGCCCTGCCCCTGTCTCCAACCTCCAGGTACAGGTGCTCACCTCACTCAGGAGAAATCTCAGCTTCTGGGGAGGGTTAGAGGCCTCACAGCGAGCCAGGGCGGTGCCCCAGCAGCAGGAGCACACTGTGTAGGTGCCCCGCCCATCTCCCCTCCCGCCCCGGGCTTGGGAACTGAGTGCAGGGAACTTGGGGAAGGAAGGGAAAAGTTTTATTTTGTAAAAAATGTGGTGAGTGGCAGCTTCTGGTGTCTGTGGTTTTTGATGGGGTTGGGGCTAGCTGGTGGGGCCTATCTGGGCCTGGTCCCATAAGACTATATCTGCTGCCTTGGGGGCTTCTGCTTTGGGTTCCTTGTAAGAGAAGAGACTAGGAAGAAACAGAGGAAAACCAATGTATGTTTGCTGGACTCTACACCCGTTTTAGACTCAACAGAGGTCACAGCATTTTAGATGCAACAGACCAACAGCCCTCAGACCCAGGGAGTCCCACAGAGTAGGGCCATTAAAATCCAAGAGACTGCCCCCTGCTCCAGAGCCCTAATCTCCAGGAGTTCTCAGAAGAGACCCACAATGAAGCATATTCTATGAGTTGATATAGAACCTTCCACCCTTCTCCCAGTTAAACAGATTCCAGGGAAGATCCTCCTGTGGGTGCCCCACCCTACCTTGATCTCCCATGGGAGCCATGGCCTATCTCTGAAGTCATAACATTAAGTTCTGGATTAGAGCCAGAAGAAACCCAGGAAATCATTCTAGACCACTGCTTTTCAAATTTGTTTTCGGCACCAGAACCCATTTGTTCACTGAATCTTATGGGAAGTTCAGTGTGTAAACAAGGCATCCTTGCTCTGCTTGGAGAGGGCTAGTGGCGTGGCCTCCACTTTACCTCCACGGGGACCCCTGAAGCTCTCTCTGTACTGTCCACCCACCCCAGAACTCCAGGGAATGAAAATTGCTGCTCTAGCCTAATCCCCATCACAGCCCCACAGAGAAACTGGGCCACTGAGATGGGAGTCACTGCTCAGGGTTTACACAGCTTGAAGTGGCAGGGGATGCACTAGAACCCCACTGGCACCCCACCCAGCAGCCTCCGTGGCCATCTTCATGTGACATTGGTGCTGAGGACAATGAGCCATCTCATCGTTGCCAGTGGGGAATAGAGACTCATCAGCCTTCCCCAGTATTCTTGCCTAGAGAATCCCATGGACAGAGAAGCCTGGTGGGCTCCTGTCCATAGGGTTGCACAGAGTCGGACACAACTGAAACCACTTAGCATGCATGCATACATTGGAGAAGGAAATGGCAACCCACTCCAATATTCTTGCCTGGAGTATCCCAGGGACAGAGGAGCCTGGTGGGCTGCCGTCTACGGGGTCGCACAGAGTCAGACACGACTGAAGCGACTTAGCAGCAGCAGCCTTCCCCAGCCTGACGTCTTGAGTCTGTTGAGGACAGGGGAGGAATCCTATCAACCTTGGAGACTGTCACCTGACTCAAGAGTGGAGTAGGGGGAAGTGTGGAGTTCTGGACGCCTATGATTAGGGTCCCATTGGGCTGAAGGAGCTGTATGAAATTCTCTTTAGTATATTTGGGGCAACGACTAACCCAATCAACCACTAACAAGTGGCAATACTAATGTGCTCTTAATGATGATTTAGCCCAAGACAGTGTTAATGAGTGCCTTAAGGAAGTGACGACTAATTGTTCATGGGCTCTCTACCATGATCACCAGGAGAGTCATGCCTTCTCACACCTAAGAAGGTCGGGCGCCCCCTCTCCTAATGGAAGAACAAATGCCTTGAGTTCTGTCCTCTGGCTGGGCTCCAGAGCCGGTTGCCCAGCTTCCCACCCCCTAGGGCCAGCACCCTCCTCCTTCAGCCAGGCTGGGTGTCTTTGTGCCGTCACTAACCTGCCTTGCTTTGTTGTTTCTCTCACTCCTGCCTGATCTGCATGGTGTGTACCGTCTGTCTGCTAACCAGGGACCCTACCTTGCTTCCGGGGACCAGTCGCTGGAACGGGCCACGGGGGAGCACGCCAGTGTGCACGAGTACCCGGGAGAGCTGGGCCAGCCCCCAGGCCTTTACCCCAGCAGCCACCCGCCAGGCCGGGCGGGCACCCTGCGGGCACTGTCCCGCCAAGACACGTTTGATGCCGACACCCCTGGCAACCGAAACTCTGCCTACACGGAGCTGGGAGACTCGTGTGTGGACATGGAGACTGACCCCTCCGAGGGGCCAGGGCTTGGAGACCCTGCAGGGGGCAGCACCCCACCAGTCCGACAGGGATCCTGGGAGGATGAGGAAGAAGACTATGAAGAGGAGCTAACCGACAACCGGAACCGCGGCCGGAATAAGGCCCGCTACTGCGCGGAGGGCGGGGGCCCAGTTCTGGGGCGGAACAAGAACGAGCTGGAGGGTTGGGGGCGGGGCGTCTACATCCGCTGAGGGGCAGGGGCTACACAGTGGGAGGAAGGGCTCTTGAGCCCAAGGGAGGGGAGGGACGGGGGGCTCACCACGGAGGTGTATCTTGCCTCCAGGGGGCGCTGTCTCCCTCCTTTCAGATGCCTTTGCTCAGTGTGGAGTTTCTTTGGTGGTACCCTTCCACCCAGCTCCTGGAAGTCCCTTAAGCCTCAGCGGCAAGTTTTTACCTACTTGCTGTGGATGGATGGAGGATGCCCACCTTTCTGCAGTATCCCCTTCTCCACCTCAGGGGGCTCTCTCCCCTCACCCAGAGAAAAGGTGCACTTCCTTAACTCCTACTCCGGGCTTTAAATGAGGGCCCTAAAAGGGTGTGGCCCTTTCTTTTTCCAACCTGGAGTATTTGGGAATGGGGGGGGGAGGGGCTTTTCCTGGAGAGGGAGACCACAGACTCTTTCCCATGAGGGCTCTCTTTCCCCAAACCCCAGATCCAGCGTCCTTTACCATGAGCCCTGCCCCCAGCACCTGCCCGCAGCTTCCTGGCTTCATTGTCTGGGAGGCGAAAGCTACAGCACTGGAAGCCCCATGGGGAGCTGTCTCACGGAGTGGTCTGGGTAGATGCTGGCAGGCGTCAGGTGTAGTGCCCTGTGCCTGCCCAGGACCTAGAGCCCCGAGGAGGAGGCCACCCCAGATGCTGCTCCCCGTCCCACCACCTCCATGCCTCAAGCCTTTGCCTACCCCAGGAATGAGCTTTGCCTACCACATCCCTTGCCTGCTGCCATCAGAAGAGGGGGCCCCTCTGCATCTGAGTCCCCCCCCCCTCAATCCTCTCGTCACCTGGGCCCATGGAACACTGATCCGCCTCATTTTGAAACCAAAAAAACTGCTTCACTCTCACCCTGAGGCCCCAGGGAAGAGGCCCTATGGTTGGTACCCCAGAGTTAATCACCACCCCAGGGGTTGCCTCTGGACGTCAGATCTCCCCTGGGGGCGGGTGGGGGGCTTGGCTGCTGCTGCTGCTGCTCTGTATTTGCCTCTTGTGATCCTGTCCTTTACCCATGTCCACTCCACCCAGGAGAGGCCTTGGTACCCCCTCTGCTCTGGAGTGTCCCTCTGCCTAGCATCCCATAGCCCAGCAGCCCTGCCCCGCAGCACCCAGCTGGGCCAGAGAGAGCCGATTGTGCCAACGAGGACTGGGCCCTGCCCGGCTGCCCGCCTCAGGGATGGGCACCTCACGCCTGTCTCGCCACCTCCTGTGCCAATGTCGTCCCCCCCACCCCCCCCACCTGGGGTGGGGTGCAGCTTCCACTTACTGGTTAGAAGAGACCACTGCCCAACCTTTCCCCTTTCCTGTCTGGTGTCCTGTGCCCCCATCTGTCTGTCTGTTCGTCTGTACGACCCTAGAAGTATTTTGCCACATATAAAACCGCCGTCCTGTCCTTTGTGCCGCCTCCCAGGCCTGCTTCTTTGGCCCCATCACTCGCCACTCCTAGGTGGCCAGCCTAGGTGTGTGGGAGCGGCTGACCTGCAGGGAGGGAGAGTGAAGCGGTGGGCACGGGAGTCAGCTGCGCCCGGAGTGATTCGCTCAGCCAGAGACATGGTGCTTTGACTTGCAACTCTGACACATCATGCTCAAGCCTGACAGGAGCTGCGTGGCCAGTCTCAGCTCCACTCCGCCCCAAGCCCCATACCTGTCCTGTCTCCCCATAAGACGAGCCAGGGAAAACCGGAAACTAGAGGGAAGTGGAGTGTCCTGGATGTCATTCAGGAGGTCAGATCCAGAGCCACTGGCTCACTGTTCGAAGCATGTGTGTTATTCTGCTCCTGTGGCCTCCGCTGCTCCCGGGCTCCTCAGGGAGGGAAGGGCTGAACTTCCGGCTTCCCCCACTGACGCCTCCAGGACAACCCTCACCCCACTCAGTGCTAACTAGCCTTGTGAGAGACAAGGTCTGTTTGTGGGGGGGGTGGGTAGAGAATTGGGAACTCCCCCAGTCCCAGACTGAAAGAAAGGGGAAAAGCCAGGAAGAAAGTCAGTGGGTGAGAGTGACAGTTCCTGCTGTCATCACCTGGCAGGATGTGGACTTGTCTGCCTCACACAGCACCCAGAAACCATTTCTCCACTCTCCTGGTTCTTGTTTTTGGGGTAGTAGGCCCAGATAATCCTGTCCAGAGTGTGCATGGGTGTCTGTGTGTGTGTGTGCATGTGTGTGTCTGTATAGAGGGCAATGGACATTCAGACTCTCCAAATGAGGGGTTAGCAAATCCAAGGAAAGAGGAACCGGACAGGCCCACAGGTTGAGTGACTGGCTCATGGTCAACAGGGAGGTGATGGCAAAGCCAGCACTGCTGGGACTGGAGCCCATTCTGCTTCCCATTGTGGTGCTGTTCCCCTTGCCTTGCAGTGGAATCAACCTTTCTTTCCCGTGTTCATTGAGCAAACATTTATTGAGCATCTACTGTGTACCAGGCACACGTCTTAAGTGGGAGCAGCAGATAGTTCACAAGGGAGCTCTCTGATATGGGAAGCAATGGGTCTTAGGGGAACCTGAAAGAGAAGTCCCTGCCTTAACCTGGGAAGATCAGGAAGGGCTTCCTGGAGGAGGTGAGTCTTAAGCAGAGTCTAGAAGGTTGGTTAGGAGTTAACCTGCAGAGAATGAGGGAAAGTGTTCCAGGCAGAGGAAGCAAGTGGCATGCATGATACATTCTTGACACTTCACTAGCAAAGGGTGCTCTCAAGGTGAAGGGAAGAGTGGGCTCACAGGAGCATAGATTTGAGGCAGCCTAGCTGGGAAACAGCTGCAGTGCTCCGAGTGAGAAATGAGGGTTTGCAGTGGAACAGGTAAGGAGGCGGTTGGCTGCAAGAGACAAATAGTGTTTAGGATTGAGAGTTCTTGGAGAGCAATTGGAGGTGGCTAGTGAGAGAGAGGGAGGCATGTGGGTGACTGTGGGTGATGGTCTTCCCAGACATAGAGGAAGCAAGTGAAAAAACCAGGTTAGAGGCAGACATTAGTTTTGGACAAAGTGGGCCCAAGTCTAAGTGGGAGCTGCAGACAGCTCCTCCTGGGGGAGGACATCCAAGAGGGAAAGAGCAGAAAACAGGCTCCGTCTGGGGCTCCACAGAGAACTCCATCTGAAGTGGATTCTGGTATTTTCAATCAAAGGCAGGGGTCATTAGCTTCAGTTTACAGATAAAGCTCTGTGAGTTTAAGCAGTTTGTCCATAGCTACACAGCCATCAAGCAAGGCCTCGAACTGAGATCCAAGTCTTGTGCTGATTCCCCTGGCCCAGGATGCCCTGGTTTCTGCACAGGGAGGGGTGCGGGGCAGGAAGAATCAGGTGTCCAAGTATGTTTCTGTCTTTTTACTACATGCCTTTGCTTGAAATTGCATTCGCCCGGAACTTGCAGGCAGGGGCATTTCTAGGTGGTTTGGAGATATTGAGAGATGAGGGGAGAGAGATTCTTGTCTCTTGGTAACCACCAACCCTCAATCATCACACAATAAGCATGTTGATGGTTTGTCAACACGTGAGGATTTCAACGCCCATGAAATTGGTTGGGCCTAGGCCCAGAGAGGCTGATGCTCCTACCGCAGCCACCTCAGGGACTCAGGAACTGAGATGCTGGGGACACCTCCTACCTCCCTCCCTGACCAGCTGCTTCTGTCTTTTCAGTAGTTTCTGCCCCAAAGTGAGCTGAGGTTAGAGAAGTTGAAGGTTTCCCTCATGCTAAAAAATGAGAGCTGAGTTGTGACCACCAGGACCTGGGAGCAGGGCAGAAGATGGGGTGGTTTCCAGCTCAGTACCCTCAAGAAAAATCTCATCTTAGCCCAGTAATCCCATCCGCAGACAAGTGTGCCTTGGCTCCCTTCTAAATCAGGCCTTCCCCCCACTGTCTCTTTTTTAGTTGTTTTATGGGTGCGTATATTTGTCTCCCTAACTAGATGGCAAGCTCCATAAGACCTGGACAGGGCCTGTTTTGTCTGCTTGGCATGTTTCTAATTCCTGACTCACATTCGTCAAATGAATGAATAAATGAATGAGTGCCCCCTGGAGATCCTACCTCTGGGCCTCACAGCAGAGGCAGCTCTTGTCTGTTTACTGAATGTGCTCCAGTGAGCAGAAACAAGTCACTTTCAATTCTGCAATTGATGGTGGGGGCAGGGTGCACTAAGAGGTTCCTTCCCTCTTCCCACCCTCCAACTTCCCCCCAGGAAACAGATGGTAAAAATGCTTTAAATATTGCTGCTTCTCCTAGCACATTTCTGAGCCGCTACCCTACCCCACCCCGGCACAGCCCAGTTCATTTTTAACTAGTGCTGAAATGGAATCAGCCTAAATGGGCTCTGGTAGTCAATTCTCCCTCCACCTAACTCTGGGCAACACTCCGGGTGGGATGAAAATTCTGTATTCAGTGAACTCTTCCCTCTTCTCTCCACAAACTACCCAACCTTCCTCAGTCCTCTTCAACGTGCATTCATACTCCTTTTTTAATACTCCAAGCTCTATTTCTCAGGCTGTAATTTAGCTTATAGCCCTTCAGTCCAAAAGCAACACATCCCCACTGTGCACTGGCTCGGGGCTGATGGGAGTGGACCGTGGGGAATACACAGGTGAGAGAGACATGACCCTGCCCTCTAGGACTCACAGTTGATTGGAGAAAGCAGACAGGCCAGTTATCATCTCAGTGTAGAAAGGAAGCCCCATTTGACTGGAGAACCAGGCCAGGGCTTGGGAAGTAGGTGGCTTCGGTAGTGGGCAGTTCAAGGGATTTAGGAACTCACCTTTCTGAGAACGTAAGGCGCTCAGATGGAGGAAACACAGAGGCAAAATCATAGTTGGGCACGTGTGGGCAAGAACCATGGATGCAGAGCATGGGGGATGACCCGCAAAAGCAGGTGGGATGTTGTTCTTGGGGATTCTTCAATGTCAGGTGAGGAGATGGGTTTGAATCCAGTGGGCAACAGGGAGCCATTGAAGGTTTATGAGCTGTGGAGTAACAGACTCTGAGCTGTGCTTGAGAAAGGTTAATAGGGCTGTGAGGAGGATGCTCTAGGTAAAGGGGAGGCAAGGAGACGAGTTAAAGAGTTGTTCTCTTGGGGGACAGGAGCACTGATGGGCTGTAGGTGGGCAGTGGCAGTGGACTGGAAGAAGCTGAGTCTCTTGTGTGGTGATGGGTCTCTCTTAACTGCCCCCTCCGCCTGATGTTGGTTTGCTTTCTTCACATCTCCTTTTGTCTTCTGGTTTCCCCCAGTTTATGCAAAGAAGGAAATTCACACACAAACAACAACAAGCAGTTCCCCCCTTCCTCCGTCTCCTCCAGCCTGGTTCTCTCCTGGCGCGGGCTCTCCGCTGGATCTCAGTATCCCGGACCCCTTTGTAGGGTCTCGGCTGAAGGCTCCCTCTTTTTGCTCCATCCCTATCTTCAGATGCCCACTCTTGGGTATCAGAAAGCTATGCCCAAGCAGGTGGTTTGACAGCAAATCATGGGAGCAGCCCTGCTTTACTCCTAGGAGTTGCCCATCACCAAGGAGCCTGCAGAAGGAGAGGACACCCAGCCCTGCCTAAGGGAGCTCACTTGAAGGAGCCCTAAAGGCCCACGTTGATGAAACAACTGGAGACCTGTTGAGGGTTGGAACATTCTCCCAGCTCAGAGAGGATGCATGAGCCCTCTCTGCCTCACACAGCTAGTAGCTACAGAAGGTGGGTAGCTTAAGGTTTTGCTTGTTTTGAGTGCCCCAGACATGGCACTTGGAGAAGGGAGAGCTGGCATCTAGTGTGGGCCCCTGTGCTAGGTTTCTTGATTTGCAGGTGAGACTAGTCCACCCAGAGAACTCAGGGGTTTCCTCAGGGTGAGGGGGAGGATGTAAATTCTGGACCCCGTTTTCCTTGCACCTCCAGGGCTCCGGACAGGTTGCTGATTGTCCCTGTGAGGTCCATGGTGCCCTCCTGGGGCCAGCGTCCCAGGGGATTCCCAGGCCCCGTAGGGGACAGACTCGCGGGGCTTCGGAGACCTCATAGGCAAAGCTGTGAGAGCCTTCCCCAGGGGGCGGGGCTCCAAGCACCTGGGCTCGACCTGGGCCCCCAAGTCCCCCCGAGTCCTAGCCCCGTCTGGCTCGGGACGTGCCATGGGACAGCTGATGGCCAAGCTGATGAGCATCTTTGGGGAACGGGGTAAGAGGCACATGAGTCATCCAAGAGACCACTTTGACCCAGCGCCCACCTGCTACCCACCCCGTCTCCTCCCCCTCAACTTTCGGGGTGGTCTGGGAACATGCGATGGGGCACCTCAGGCTCAAAGAATCCTGCGTGGGGGCTCCCTGCCGGCTCCGAAGTCTCCCCTGCCCCCTCCCCGCCCACTCCTCTTCGGTCGCGCGCTTCGGTGCATCCCTGAGCGCCCGGCCCAGCGAGCCTCCTTCCTCCGGCTAAACGCTGTCGCCGGTTTCCTACGGTCGTGACTTCACGCTCAGCTCTCTTTTCAGACCCCCTCTCTTGGCAAGAAGCCCTGAGCTCCCCGGATCTTTTGCACAATCATTTTCCTGGAAATGTGGAGAGGGGAAAGTGGGGTTCAGGTCTCATTTCCACTGTCCCGAGGTGGCGCAGGGGTCCCGGCCCGGTGGGAAAGAAACCTGGCCTGTTAGTTTCTTGTGGGGGAGGCGGCGCGGGAGCAGAAGTAGTACCGTGGGCAGAGGTCCCCCAGCCTGCTGGGAACAGTTTTCTCCTTCCTGGGAGGCCTGGTGGAGCACACAATCCCTTGGTCATCGGGTTTGGCACTGACCCTGCCCTTCCCCCGAATTCCTCCAGAGCACAAGGTTATCATCGTGGGACTGGACAATGCAGGGAAGACCACCATTCTCTACCAGCTGTAAGTGACTCTCGGATGGGGAGGGGGCTGGGCCTTCCCACCAGACTGACAGGCATTTGGACCAATCACCGGAGCCTTTTCCTGGGTCTTCTTGTAGCCGGGAGAACAGACAGGCGGAGCGAAGGAGTGACCTTCCCGAAACAGGGGCCCCTCAGTTCAGTGGCTTCTCGGCCAGGCGTTAGAATCCTGCTCGGTATGAGCAACCCAACTGCTCCCCGCCATCTGCCCGCGGTCCCTGCAGAAGCCGGCTGTGGGCTTAAAACTGTCCAAACCTGACCGATGATCTCCTGCTTCGCCCCCCCTAGCGTCAGGTCTCTGCTAACTCCGGCATCCCAGCCTTGTGTCTTCATTTTTTCTCCCCCTTTCAGTCCCTTTTCAGACTGGAGAAGGAAATGGCAACCCACTCCAGTATTCTTGCCTGGAAAATCCCATGGACGGAGGAGCCTGGTAAGGCTACAGTCCACGGGGTCGCAAAGAGTCGGACACGACTGAGCGACTTCACTCACTCGCTTTCAGACCAAAAGGGAGGGCCAGCTTTGGGTCTGGCTGGATTCTGTAGGTCCTGGTCTAGCAGAGTCTGGCACTTATGCTTTTTCCGATATTCACTCTCCTGTTTGGAACTTCCAGAGTATTTACTTAGGAAAATTTTCCCTGAAAAAGTATAATTTTTCCTGAAGAAAAGAGAAGTTAGAAGAAAAGAGAAATTCAAACAACATGAGTATATATATAGTAAGGTTCCCTCTCACCACTAACTTTCCATTTTGTGTCCCAGGTTTTCCAGAGGTATTTCCTACATATAAAAACATGTGTTTTTTCTAAGTCATTTTAAACAAAGTCCCTCTCTGAAGGCCCTCACTTATGTCTGTCCCCTTTTTCAGTCCCTTGCTACTCAATCTGTGGTCCACAGACTGGCAGCGTTGACATTAGCTGGAAGCTTGTTAGAAATGCAAAACGCTGGGCCCCAGTCCATACCCTCCTGATCAGAATCTGCAGTTTAGCAAGACTCAGCTGCGTATTCAAGCTGGGGGAGACTGTTCTAATGAGTCTCCCCTCTCTGGGGTCCAAGTCAAGAAGGACTTGATCTCACTCCTGTCTGCATTCCCTCATCCCCAGCAGAGGCTGAGTTGCTCTGAGTTAGATTCAGCCTGACTTAAGGTGGGGTCCAGAGCTGACAGTGAACTGGGCTGAGTGGTTGGTGCCCTCTCCTACCTCCCTAGCCTGACAAATGAGGTGATCCATACATGTCCCACCATCGGTAGTAACGTGGAGGAGATTGTTCTGCAAAAGACCCACTTCCTCATGTGGGACATAGGAGGACAGGAGGCTCTGCGCTCCACCTGGAACACATACTACTCCAACACTGAGGTGAGGAGGCTGCCTGGGCTGGAGGAGCTGAGCTGTGTGATATTAGCCAGTCACTTAACCTCTCTGAGCCTTGGTTCCCCCACTGTGAGATGAAGACTGTAATAATGACCTCTCTGGGACTTCCCTGGTGGTCCAGTGTTTAAGACTCTGTGCTTCTTCTGCAGTGGGTGTGGGTTTAATCCCTGGTTGGGGAACTAAGAGCCCACATGCCATGCAACTTGACCAAAGAATTAAAAAAAAAAAGATCTCATGAGTTTTTATGAAAATTAAAAAATTAAACAAGAGCTAATTCAGATGTGCTGAATACTTAATGCAGCACAATGCCTGTTAAAATTTTTGAATACTTTCTGGCAGTTTCGTTTGCTTGCTGGCAGCTTTCTGTTCAATGCATTGGATGGGGTAAGCTCTTTGTCTCTGGGGGGCCTTACTTTCTCACTCTGGCAGCAGCAGAATCCAGTGGTTTCATTCCTGGAGTGAGAGCTGATTTCAAGCTCCAGCGCTACCACTGTATGGCTGTATGGCTGAGGGCAAGATACACTGCATCACCTCACTGACCTTCAGTCTCCTCGTTTGTAAATGGGGATAGTAACAGTTCCAGTTCCATAAGACTGTGGCGAGACCCAAGTGGAGTCACAGTGCCTAGGACTTGGCATAACCTTTGGCACACAATCAGAAGTTGTGCTTTGTCCACCCTGGGTCTGGATAAAAAGTGAATTCAAATGGGATGAGGGCAGTGAGGTCTTGAGACTGGACAGTTTGTTTTCTGTGGGGCTCACATCAAGGCAGAGTAAAGTGGGAAGAGACATATTCATGGGATGAATGAATGTGTGTGTCATCACTCACAACTTCCCTCTGCTGGCCAGTTCATCATCCTTGTGATTGACAGCGCAGACCGGGATCGGCTGGGGACCACTCGAGAGGAGCTGTACAAGATGCTGGCCCATGAGGTAAGCTCCCTGCAGTTGGGGGAGGACCCAGGGCACTAGCTACTAGCTGTGTGACCTCAGTCTACTCACACAGCTTCCTGAGCATCATTACTGATGCCCCAGAATCTGAGCACCTCTATCCTAGCAGCTTGGGCAGGGCAAGATTATTCCAGATGAAGGGCAATAACACCTTCAGCACAACTGATCACAGAATTCAGAGTTGCAAGTGCGAGTCCTGACCTCACTTCTCACTCACTGTGGAGGGACCCCACACAAGTTACTGCACTTCTCTAATTCTCAATTTCCCCAAGTACAATATAAGTGGGAAAGGTCATCAATTCCTACCTCCTGGGATCATTGTAAGGATTCTATGGGCTGGTTGAGAGGCACTCCATGAACTGTTGTTGTCGTTTCCTGTGGTTGTTACTGTTGGGCCAGGCCTCCCTCCTTGCCCCACCTGGGCATGGGCCTGTCTTGCTAGGAAAGCAGGAGAGATCGAGAGGGCTCATGGGGCAGTGAGAAGGGCGGCTGGGTCCTGACAGGCTGACTGGGGCTGGGTTCCTCTGTCCACAGGCTCTACGAGATGCTTCCATCCTCATCTTTGCCAATAAGCAGGACATGAAGGACTCCATGACCATCGTGGAGATCTCCCAGTTCCTCACCCTCAGTGCCATCAAAGACCACCCGTGGCACATACAGGGCTGTTGTGCCCTCACCGGGGAAGGGTTAGTGGCTGTCCTACCTGGACCTTCAGGGCCTGTCCCAACCAGCTGACCATCAGAAACTTCTCTTGTCTCTCTCCTGTCGGAATCTGACTCATAGCATCCCTTAGCATCTGGGTCAAGACAGCTGAACACCCACCCACAGTTAAGATGCTGTGGGTAAGCAGTGAGCAAGACAGTGTCTCTGCTGTCCCAGGGGCTTGTTCTAGTGGGGAGAGAGGTGACACTCCAGTCAGACACAAACATTTTCGGTACTGAGAAGTGCTATGAAGAAAGTGAAATTGAATAACAGGGATGGCTTTGCTAGAGCTCTAGTGGTCAAGGGGCCATGTCTACTAGGAGGTGACTTCTGAACTGAGACCTGAGTGAAGAGACAACCTTGGGAAGACCTGGGGGACAAGCCTTCCAGGCAGAAATCACTGACTCTGGCCTTGAGTTTCCTTATCTGTAAAGAAACCTGTTTACTCCCAGTGTTTCCCAAGAGTATAAATGATATCATTCATTTAACATTCACTGGGAATCTACAGTTGTTCCTCCATATCCATGGGTTTCACATCCTCAGATTTAACCAACTGTAGATTGGAAATATTCAGAAAAAAAAAAAAAGCCAGAAAATTCCAAAAAGTGAAAATTGAATTTGTCATGTGCTAGCAATGATTTACATAGCATTTGTATTATATTTACCACTTTTTACATAGCATTTACAATATATTAGGTATTATAAGTAGTCTAGAGTTGATTTAAAGTACTTATTTAAATCAGTGACTAGGTTATATGTAAATATATGCCACTTTATACAAGGGGCTTGAATGTCTGAGAATTTTGATGTCTGCAGGGGTCCTGGAACCCTGGAACTCCTTGGATACAGAGAAATGACTGTTCTTTGTTCCAGGCACTGTTCTAGACACCTGAGAAAAAGTAGTGAACAAAACAGATAGAAATCCCTGCCCTCACGGTGCTTATTTTCCAGGAGGGGAGAAAGAGACACTGAACAATAAAAATAAGAAAAATGTACAGTAAGTTAAAAAGTGAAAAGTGTGGAGGGGAAACATCAATAGGAAAGGGAAGTTGGATGTATGTTGGGGAGAATGTTGCAATTTTAGATAATGTGTCCAGGGAGGGGCTGCTGAGAAGAGAGCTGCCGATTGAACATCTGAGGATGTGAAGGAGCTAGGTCATGGTCACACAGAAAGGGTCTTGAATCAGGCCTGTCCTCTTCCCTCTTCCCTCTCAAGTGGAGTCACAGTGGGTTAGGGGCTTGGATATCCAGCTGAAGAAGGGGAGACTTTAGGCAGGCCAGCCCAAGGAACCACATATTTCTGGCCATGTCCTTCTAACTCCTGGGTCAGGAGGAGCCCCCCGCCCCCATCTCCAACCCATATTCAGTTCAATTCAATCAGCATTTCCTAAGTAACCCTCATGTGCCATGCACTGTGTCAAGTGATACTGACATGACCAAGACCCCATTCTTGCTAGGAGTTGCTCACAGTCTAATGAAAGAATTTGCTTATGGAGCCTCTTTGCAGGCCTTTGAAGCCACCCTGGCACTGACCCAATGATGGAGTGGGGGGAAGGTGGCATTGGAGGCTTGCCCAAAGACATTGCTAAGGTGGGTCTCCAGGCCTCTTTGTCCAAGAAGCCCTCCCTGAATCCCAAATCCAGAGGTCTCTGTACATCTCCTTTCTTTCTTTTTTTTTTTTTTTTTTTAAGATGATAAATTTTATGTCATTTTTACCACAATTTTTTTTCTTTTTTTTTTTTCTTCATCTTTTTTTTTTTTTTTATCACAACCATAGTGTATCTTTTTTTTTTTTTACATGTATTCCCCATCCCAGTCCCCCCTCCCACCTCCCTCTCCACCCAATTCCTCTGGGTCTTCCCAGTGCACTGTACATCTCCTTTCTAAACGTTATCACAGTATGTAGTTATACAATTATTTGTTTGATCATTTGTTTAATATCTATCTCCTCTGCTAGACTGTAAGCCCTAGAGGGCATGTCTATTTTTTCACCAGTAACCCCTCGCATAATACCCATTGCACGGTTCATTTATATTTGTTAACTGAATGCAAAACTGGATATAAATTTGGGCGTTCCAGCAGTCAGCTCTGGGTGGGGCTGGGGGCTGGGGAGGCCATCAGCCTCATGAAGTATGCTGATCCTTGCTCTGTTCTTCCCTCCTCCAGGCTGCCTGCTGGGCTGCAGTGGATGCAGTCTCGGGCCACTGCCAATTGATGTCCCAGCCTGAGGCCAACCAGAAATTTGGAGGGTTTTGCATGGACTATGTGGGTAGAAAACCCAAGTGACTATTTATTATTTTTCTATGACACTCTAGTGACCAGGGGCATCTATGGATGGTGAGATTGCCACTGCCACCCAACCTCCCCACTGAGGAGCTAGACAGAGCACCCTGAGCTGCTGCAGGCAGGACAGCAGAAAAAGCTGCCCTTCACTGCATGGAAGCAGGCATCCTTCTTAGAGACACCAGGGGAGCTGTTGGATGTGTTGGGGGATTAGGAAGTGGAGCCCTCTCCCTCAGCCCTCAGCCTCTCTGTAGGAAAAATGGAGGGCAGAGTAAGAGACCCCTGGAATTGTTCTTTATTTCCTAGACCTCTACCCCAAGCCCTTAACCCCCACTCCAGCTTTCCGGCCCCTTAGCCATCTTTGTCCCATACGCTTCCATTAAAGGAGATTCCAGAAAGGTGAAGGGGCTGGCTCAGAGGAAGGAGGGCAGAGCCAAAACCTGAGAGGGGAGAAGGTGGAGGACAGGACCTTCCAGCCAGAGACAGTTCCTCATATTGCAGGGGGTTCCACTGCTCCCTCACCTACGCGTTCCCTCTGAGATGCTGGGTCTGACCACAGCTTTTGAGCTTTAAGCTACCCCTTCACTCCCAGTGTCCTCCCAGTGTGAATCCCACTCCTCCCAATATCCCAGATTCCTATAGCATTTGTTTAGCTTGTCTTTTTGTAGTGATTTTTTCCCCCACACCATAGTAGGAATTTTATGAAGGTGTAATAAATGCCATTGAAAACTGCTCACTTTTTGTTTCTGCATGCTCCTTTGGCTGCACCTCAAAACTGACTTTCAATTTCAATCAAAGTTCTCTGGCAGGGGAAATCCACCTAGGAAATGGAAAGGGGCTGCCTCAAGGGTCTATATGGGGACTGGTTCTTCGGTCCTGGGCTCTATAGCCCTCTGCCAGGTGACTAACACCAGGTTTGCCAGCACTCAGAGCTCTGGGCTCTGCCTGGGCCTAGGGGAAGGAGGGCAGTAGGAGGCTTTAGGGGTTGGAAAAGCCCAGGAGTCCTATCAAAGTAGAGCTGGAAACAGGATGGAAACCCAGGCTGCCTGTCCTGTACGGGGAGCAGTGCTATTACCCCCAGAAAACCTGGGATGGTCCTGAGGTCAGTGGGTCTGTTCTCTTCCGAAGTCAGGAAGTGCACAACGCTGTGAGATATACACAGATATCTGGACACAGATATAGTGGGATCAGGATTTCTTAACCCTGTGGTTTCCATAAAGAATGATGGGGGGGAAGAACTCAGGAGGTCCAAACATCTCCATTTAGATGCCGTGTTCCTTCCATCAGGTTAGCTACAAAGAACACAATAGATTAAAAAAAAAAAAAAAAAATCAATTGTTCCCTTATTCCGTAGAAATTCACCCTAAGTGGTAAGTAGCAGTGGTACCACGGGGGTATAGCTCAGTGGTAGAGCATTTGACTGCAGATCAAGAGGTCCCCGGTTCAAATCCGGGTGCCCCCTCTAAGGCCTAGGTTTTTTTTTCCCTAATGCTCCTACTGAAGTTCCTTTACAGGATAAAGGGGAAGTGTCCTTCAACATTGCAGACCTCTTTTGCCGGCGATCAAGGTGGAGACCCAGGTCCTGCCAAGCCACGCCCTCAGCCTCTTGGGGGCTGTACAAAGGCCCACTCGCCTGATGGGGTGGAGGCGTGAGCGCCCGCACGCAGGTCTACGTGTCCCGGGATCTCAACTGCTGTTGGAAGACAGACTGAATTCCTAAGGGCCGGGCTTGGGCTGGGACAGGAAGGACTGGAGGTGTCTGTGAGCGTGTAGGAGAGAGACGGGCGCCAAGATAAACGCTAGGGGCGCTCTAACAAGGCAGGAAAGGCGGACCCAGGCCCAAAAGAAGGTCCAGGAAGTGAGAGATCTAGGGGAAGTGAGGGACATCCCCTGCCGCAGTCCCCAATTGCTTTTTCTTACATCATTAGAATTCTTTAGTTCAGAGTTTCAGGAAACAAACTCTGCATTCAGATAGGTAGTCTCTTGAGATTTATAGTCTCTCTGTCTCTTGAAAATACTGGATTCCACTTCCGTTTGTGGAAGCAGGCACAGCGCCTGCGCTGAAGTAGCACTAAGAAGTCATCCGCAGACGCCTTACCAGCAGAGGGGGTATAGCTCAGTGGTAGAGCATTTGACTGCAGATCAAGAGGTCCCCGGTTCAAATCCGGGTGCCCCCTTGTATACACTTTTAAGAATCCAAATTCGGATTCTCCCAGCCACTGCGTTTCTTATAACTTTCTACTTCCACGATTTTGTGTTGACGTTTACTTCACCACTTCTATTTTGGGCAAGATGAGGAATGGCGAGACAGCAACAGAAACTTAAGAGCAGAGTTTCTCAAAATGTGTTACTGAGAACAGCACCACCAGCTGGGAACGTGTTAGAAATACGGATTCTCGGCCTCAGAACTACAGTACTTGGGGGTGGCTCCTAGAAATCTGTGTTTTATAAGCCCCCCAGGTGATTCTGATGTACACTCAAGTTCTAGAAGCTTACATTAAAAAAAATTGACACGTCATTTGCTTCTAATTATTTCCAAGTTGCTGTTTCAGCCTGAGTCCTTTATTAAGAGATCTTTTAAAACAGACCGCGCGCGGGGCATCCCGGACAGGGGACTGTTCAAAAAGTTCAGTGCCGGAGCTGAAATTCCGTCCTGGGTCCTCTCACCTTGACCTCTCGGAAGGTAGGGGCAAGGAGATGTGAACCCGCCTGGCTGGAGTCGGAGATAACTCAGCGCGGAGGCTGGTCTGGAAAATCGCGGAAAACCGCAAAACACGCGCGTTGCGGCTCGTCACGTGGCCACTAGAGGGCAGCAAGAAGCCGCAGCTGGAAGCAGCAGCCTTTTTGATCCCGAGAGTTGGCCAAACCGCAATTTAAATGAGACAACAAGAAGAACTTACAGACAGGCCTAATCGTGTCCCATTCTAAGTGATTAGGGGACGTGGGGCTAAAGGAGGTCGGTTCTGGGACCCTGGGTCCTGAGGAAGAAGGAACTGGGATTCTGAAAGATTAGTTTTTAGGGCCCCAGCGTCCCCTTCACCCCCATTCTCCCTCCATCCAGCGCGGGATCTCCTTGCCTCCGCACGAAGTAGGTCGAGGAGGGAAGAGGCACCTCCGGGTCCTGACCTGATTCCCTGCCATCCATTAAATCTCCTAAATTGAGGGTATTTTTATTCTGTTCTGGTAGGGTAAAAAAAAAAAAAGTGATCTATTCCCAGAGGCTGCTTATAAGGTGGTGGCAGTTGGAGTGAGACGTTTCCTTGCTCTCCTCTGATTGGGTCGGGTCCTGTGGAGGTCTGGGGTCCCCAAAGAGGAGGGTGACCTCAGTTACTTTCCGGGGGTGGGAAGGAGTCCAGGTTATTTCAAAGTAGGGATGATCCAGGTCTCTCCATCACCATGTCTGCGGGGTGGGATAAAGTGGACAGAAGCCATAAGAGGGCGTGGAATTCAGGCCTCTGCTGCAAGGGGAGACTCCTGGGGTGGGGGTGGGCGTCAGATCCCTACACAACTCCGTGCAACAGCCCAGAAAGTCGGGAAGCCTGGTGGAAATGGGTCGGGGGCGGATGGTAGGAGCCCAGGGTCTGAGGAAGGGGCGCCCCCTGTCCCTTGCTGGGCTCTGGCCCTTCGAGCCTTCGCTCCACCGCTTTCCCCCAGGGAGTGGAGGAGGGGAAGGCAGGCAGGAGCTAAGGTGCGGTGTAGGGGTAGCTGATGCTCTTCGGGGGTTCTCCCAGCCCGAGGGTTCCCCGCCCTGTCCCCCTCCTCCTCCCGCCACCCCCCTGCCCCCCGCCTGGGAAGCGGCCACGGGAGCTCTCGGGGAGCGCTCGGGCTGGGCTGGGAGGGCTGGGGAAGACTCGGGGCGAGCTCCGGAGGCGCCGCGCCCCCCCCCGCCCCTCCCCCTCCCCGGTCCCGGCTCCGGGAGGCCGCGCGGCTCGCTCGCCGCCCGCTGGCGCTCCGCCGCTCTCACTGCTTGCCTGCCCCGCGCTCTGCTGCCGCTCTGCCGCCCGCCCCTCCGCCGGCCAACCCGGGGGACCGCGCAGCCCGAGCCGGGCCAGGACAGCTGCGGGCCGGGGGCGGGTCCTGGCCTCCACCATGCGGGCCGAGTTCTGGCTCCTCGTGCTGGTGCTTAGGGAGGCTGCCCGGGCTCTGAGCCCCCAGCCCGGGGCAGGTAGGACTGGCCAGAGTTGGTGGGGTGGGTCAGGGTCGTGGGTCGGGGGGGCAGGTGGGCGGGCGTGGGCATGGACAGGTACCGGCAGGCTGGCGGTGTCAGAGGCGCCGGGGGTCGTGTTCGCGGGAGGCCAGGAGCGCTGTGGACGGAGGCAGGTGACCAGGGACCCCTACTTTCCTAAACACACAGGGTGTGTGAGTGAGGGTGGAAGGATCAGACACCGATGCTCCGATTTCTCCTTCCCTCCTGGAAGGACACTGGAGGGACCCCAGTGGAGAGGGAATCCATAAGGCATTGGGCTTTGGCCCCAAACAGGGCGGTGGGAGAGTCACAGGGACCCCTGGCCACACTGGGTGAGGCTGAATTCTGATGAGATGCGGAATCTGGGATGTCTCTTGCCTCAGTTTTGTTTCCTTTTTCTCTCCCCTGCCCCCAGTCCCAAGCTGACCCAGTCTGGGGGCTGAATGGCAGCAGCCTGGAGGATGGAGGAGACCCACCATCTCTCCTCCAGCAAGGGCAGTGGGGAGCCTGACGCCCTCTCCCCTCTGTTTGGTACTTGAAGAGCCGCGCTGGGCCCAGAAAGAAGCAACTTGCTGCTTCCCCACCCCCAGCCTCTAGGGTCCGCCAGTCACTCTTGCTCTAACTCTGCCCTGGTGGCCCTTGGCCTGTAGCTGTTCTGGCTCTGGATTAGGAGGGTGGGGTGTCCTACCTTCCTCACAGCAGTTCTCTGCAATCATTCTCCCACCTGGAAGTCCTTTCTGAGATCTACCTTGAGTCTCTCCTGTTGTAAAGGAGAACCATTTTTCAACAAGTAATTTTGCATTCTCCTCTTTCTTCCTCATGTATGCAGGCATTCTCTGGGGTTGGGAAGGTGGGTAATTGCAGTCAAGCCTCTTGACAGAGAGAATTGAGAAGATAGAGTTCCTTGCCTCACAGGCATAGATGTCCCCCAGGGTGGGATGGAGCAGGTGGAGAGTGTGTCCAGGGGGATGCTGTATTTGGGCTGCTGTCTCAGGGTTCTGCGGGCATCAGGCACAGCATCAGTGACGGCATTCTTGACTTTAATGGTTCCTGAATATAGTTGAGACAGGCCCGGGTTCCTGTTGAGAGGGAGAGTGTGGGCAGAGGGCAGCAGAAGCTGAGGTGGCAAGAGGCTGCTGGTGCAAAACCACCAGTTTTCAGAGAGAAAAAGAGACAGACGGCGGCCAGAGACTTCACTTCTAGTTCCAACATCTTGCTTGCTGTGTGACCTTGAGCAAGTTACTTTCCTTCTCTGGGCCTGTTTCCTCCCTTATAAAGTGAGGCTGTGGGCAAAATCTTTGTGGGATTATGGAATTATGAGAGATATTTTTTCTTTTTTATGACTCTCTTACCTTTTCAGATTTGTTATGATGTGTGTGGGGTAATTGCAAAAAAAAAAAATTAAGTCAATATAAAAAGGAATTGGTTGGACAGGTCAATTTTTGAGGTCCTTGGCAAACCCATCCTGATGGGATCTTCTGAACTCTGGATATGACTGGGTTGATGAGGGATGGCTGTGAACCTGACTGAGATGGGAGATCCACGGAAAGGGGTGGGGAAGAGGGCATTGGAAGGAAACAAGGATGGGCAATGCGGGGGCCAGAGCCAGGCCTGGCTGAGGGCTGGCAGAGGGGCAGGCAGAGACTCGAATCACACCTCTCAGCAGAGGACACCCTGTCTCCTCAGCTTTGACAGATTCAGCCGGGAGAAATGAACTTTCTCTGCAGCAGGTGAGATTGGTGAGCCTGAAGGAAGCCAGCGGGGGCAGCTGCTGACTCTGAGTCGTGCTTTTTTTTCACAACGACGAGACTGGGTTTGAGCGGGGCCCTGTGTGGAGGCAGGGGGTGTCTTCTAGGGAGAACAGGTGTCGTGGGAGACCCTCTGGAAGAGGGCTGCTCCGGTGGGTGGTGGAGCCCTGGAGACAGGTGAGAGGGCAGTTGGGGGCTGGACCTGAGGGGCGGATGCTGCCATCCAGCCCCAAGGATCCAAGGCCTCTGTGCTGGGCTGGGAGGGGGGATGCGGGAGGCAGGGGACGGGGGCCAGGGCTCAGGGGGGAGATGAGATCTCCCCTCCCTCTTGATGAACTGACCTTGAAACTTCATCTATCATTAAAACAGGAGCAGGAGAAAGATGAGCGACCCAAAGATACAGTAGGTGGTGAGGGAGATCAACAGAAGCTGACAGGCAGATAGACAGATGGGGAGACAGGAAGATACTAGGGTGCATGGTGGGAGCTGGGGGCACTCTGGGGTCTGGGCTGAGTGAAACTGGAAGTGCCTACAGCAGACAGAGAAGGAAAAGGCCACTGGAGGTGGCATCCTGTCCTGGGAATTAGCAGATCAGGCCCAGCTCCAACCCTGGGTGACCCTGGCAGCTTTATCCTTTTTCTGCCCCTTGGATTCTCCATCCATAAAATGAGGTTTGGACCAGATTGCCTCTAGGGCCCCTTGGAGCCTTGACTCTGCTTCCAGCCTTCTCCTTGCTCACCAGGGCTCTTCAAACAAATGGAGACTGAAATCCAAGCTCTGCCCAGTGGCCATTGGACAGCCCCTCCCCACCCCCACCTCTGCTCCACTCTGCCTGGGTCTGCTCCCCAGATCACTCAGGCTGCTGTCCACTGGGACCGCCAGGTAACTGGCTTCTCTTCATCCAGGTCTCAGTCAGCTCAAGGGCCCCCTCTGAGAGAGGCTTCCTGAGGCCCCTGTCCAGAGTAGAAACAACCCCCAACCCTTCCGTCCTTCTGTTTCCTCCACAGTCCTTCTCACCATCTCACATTGTCCTGCTGGCTGAATTGTTCATTTTGTATGTGTCTTTCCCGACTAGAATCTTCATGGGCACAGGGCTTGTGTCTGCCTGTTCGCTGTTTTTGCCCCAGCACTCAGCACAGTGCCTGGCACATATGCGTGCGTGCCAAGTTGCTTCAGAGTCTTTGTGACCCTATGGTCCATGGCCCACCAGGCTCCTCAATCCATGGGATTCTCCAGGCAAGAATACTGGAGTGGGTTGCTATGCCCTCCTCCAGGGGATCTTCCCAACCCAGGGATTGAACTTGGGTGTCTTATGTCTCCTGAATTGGCAGGTGAGTTCTTTACCACTCTTGCCACCTGGGAAGCCCCCCGGGCACACGGGGCTCAATAAACGTGTATTGAGTGAGTGAATGAATTAGACGGGGTCACAGACCCCATTCTGTCCCTTTGAGAGAAACTCAGAGAGGCAAGTTCTTCTTTTCTTCTCTCTTCCCCTCTTTTCTTCTGAGCCACTGGTCATCCCTCCCTGCCCCTTTCTCATGCCTCCCTCTCTCTCCCCAGATCAGGGTCCTCAGTGGGTCTCTGCCTGCCTGCAGGAGGGAAGAGAGTGAGGTTGGCGGCTTTGTAACTGAGAGGCAGGATTTCACTTCAGGGTCTGGAGGCTTCCCCAGACCCCTTGGAAAACTGGTCCTCATATGAAACCCACGAAAGGCAGGAGTACCCTGCTGGATGCTTTGTGTACAGTATTTTGTTACAGCCTCGCAAAGTGACTTGCCAAGTGTAGGTTTTATCATTTCTGTTTTCCAGAGGAGGAAACTTAGAGAGATTGTGCAATTTGTCCAACGTCATAGTCAGTAAGAGGTAGAGTCAAGGTTCAATCTCAAGCTTATTCGATTCCAAACTTGTGTTTTTATTGCTGTGATAACAAGGAGGGTTTCTGGTGAGGCTGTGCCCCAAGGGAAGGGTCTTCTAAGCTCTGTGGGTCTCAGGAGCTCTGAAAGTTTAAACATGCCTTCCTTCCTTCCTTCCATCCATCACCTGTGTGTGCTTGACGAGCAGCTGCTCTATGTCAAGCACCTGGAGCTTGTGGTTGCACAGGTAGCAGTGATTTGTCAGGATCAGGGCTGGGACCATGCACGTAGCATTTGGGGTGAGGCATAGAAATGTCAGAGAAGGCGCTGGGAAGAAGTGACATCTCGTGAGACTTGAAGGATGAGCAAGAGCTCATCAGCTCCCTTTATTTATGGAGCAGAGTGATCTAGGCTGAGAAAACTGCCTGCGTGAAGCCCCATGGCCAGAAAGAGTGGGGCTGAGTCCTGGAAAGGAAGACGGGGGGCTGAAGAAGCCAGCAGGGATCTGATCACGAAGGGGCTCCAGTGCTGAGTGGGAGAGCTGGGCTGTCAGCCGAAGGGTCGTGGCAAGAGGGGAGCACGGGAAGGATGGAATGGAGTTTTTCCTTTGGACAGGATGTTCTGGCAGGCATGTGGGAGACTGGCCCAGGGGCATGAAGGGTAGAGGCTGAAGTCATCACCAGGAAAGAGGTGATGGCAGCCACAACTGAATGATGGCCATGGGGCTGGAATGGCAAGCTCAGGTGATGGGTGGGATGAAGGTGGCTTGGCTCAGGCACTGGGATGGTGTGACCAGGCCTCCCAAAGTCAGCGCATTGCTTCTTGCCCTGGAGCAGGGCAGCGGCACCAGCAGAGGTTTGGGGCATGGCTACTGGGCTGCCCCTCGGCATTCCAAGGGGTACAGTCTGCCGGGGAACCTCCCAGGTTTGGGCCCAACGGCACCCGTGCATCCTTCCCCGGGGCTGCCCTGCACCTTCGGGAACAGCCTGGCAGGTCGGTCCCCTGGTGTACCGTGGTGTGAGCAAACCTGCACCTGCTGTGCCTGAGTGCAAACCCTGGACTGGTCACATGGCCTGGCTTTCCCAGTTTGTAAAATGGATCTACAACAGCACCCCTCTCATGAGGCGATTGTGGGGATTGAATGAGTTGTGGGTGTACCACCCTTGGAATAATGCCAGTACAGGGTACGCATTCTCTAGAAACGAGCTATTATTGTTATTATCCCTCACAGCGCGAACACTAGACTTGTTCGCTACTTGGGGTCATGGGTGGTGGAATGGATGAATGCATGACTAGCTGTGCTCTGGAAGCTTCTTGCATCACTCACAGGCGGGTCCCCTCACATGCAGAGGCAGGGGATGGCTGCTGGGAAGAGGGCAGAGCAGTGGTAGCCAGGGGTTGGAGCCCACAGGAGGAAGACCCAGGCCTTTAGATACGTATGTGCGTGTGCACATAGGCCCTTACATACACACGTGCAAAGCCAGCTGGGGCTGATTCCTTCTGCAAGCTGAGGGAGTGATGTCCCATCCTAGTCAACCGGGAGGGGGCAGGGTGTCAGGGAGACAGTTGTGGTGGGGGCTGGGAGGGCGAGATTCAGGGTTAGGTCAGGGCGGGGCAGGTTCCTCGGTGACCTCCTTCTCTGTCCCTTGGCCCCTCTCCTTCCTGGATACTTGGTCTCTGGTACTGGCCCTGAGTCTTCCTACGTATAAAATCTTATTTTTGCTTCTTACTGTATGATCATGGTGGCCTGTGCCATAGGCACAATTATCATTCCCATTTTCTACTTCTACTTAGAGAAGTGGACTGGTGGGTCCGAGGTCACACAGCCTGTGGGTGTCAGGTGTGCCCTCCCTGGTCGCACTTCTGGTGGGGCCCTCTCACCAGGCCTCGGGTCACACCATCCAGGCACCTCCTGTCTCGGATGCAGGACTGTGATGCCTGCAGATCCCTAGCATCCCTTTCCAGGCCAGCTAAGCTCCTCTGCTTGTTCTGCACAAGCTCCTTTCCTGTTCTGGCTCCTGCCCAGGCCCGAGGGCTGCTTGCAGGAGGACCCAGGGAGCTGGGCAGGGCAGCCCAGCACAAATAGTTCTGACTCCAGAGGCAGCTGTGGGCCCCACCCGAGAGGGGCAAGACAGCCCTGGCTTGGGGTCCGAGCCACAGGCAGGCTGCCTTCCCAGTATTGGGTTCAGGTCCATCTCAGCCAGTGGGCATCTTGGGGCAGGGGTCTGGAGACCACCCTTTCCCTATCTTCTCCAGAGCATCTGGTTGCAATTAGGGGCAGGGGAGTGAGAGGGGGCCGGCAAGGATCCAGCAGGCTCCAGCAGCCAAGAATGACTTAATTGGATAAAATGTCTAATGACAAACCAGAGCCCCACAGCAAAGAGTCCTGGCCCTAGCCCCAGGCCTGGTCCTGGCCAAGCCTTTTCTCAACCTCTGTCCTTGCTGGCTCCCAAGTTACCTCCAGTATCATGTCCTCAGTTGTGCAGTGACTGAGCACCCACTGTTTGCTAGGCACCAGGATACGCAGTTATGGTAGGTGGCAGAGTGCTGGGGGAGCCCAAGTCTACCAGGGAGGTGGGCACATAGTTGGACTACTGGCGGGTGCTGCAGGAGAGAAGGCTACCTCCCGGAGCTCTGGGGACCAGGTGGGGCAGGGCATCTGACACAGCACAGGCCTGAAACTGATGGAGGTCACAGGGAATGTCAGCTCCTCCCATCTGGTAAATATACACGGCCATAGTAGGTGTGGCAATTGGAGAAACAGTATAAGACACATCTTTGTGGGCATGCATAAGTCTTTTTCTGAAATGGAAAAGCATGGTTTCTGTGTCATTTGGAATACATTTAATGACCAAGAGGGAACTGGAGAGAATATTGAGTCGAGGAACCGCTGCTAGATGGCCTGGGTGCAGCCACTCTTCAATCCTGTGCCCGCCGCAGACATTGCCAACTGATCGTGACCATCTTTCCTGCTAAACACAAGTGGAGCCTCAGAATTCTTCCCAATTAGAGCATTCCTGGTTCTCACTAATCCACTGGAGGTGGCTTTTGAGATGAAACCCATTTGTTGTCCTCGATGGATTTGTAAAGCTCCTTGTTCCATGGGGAAAGTGACTTGCCGAAGATGTTTGAAGGTAGTGATAAAACTCAACAGTGCTCCCCACTATAGAAACATCTTCAGTTGTCACAACCTGGGAGGAGGTGCTACTGGCTTCGAGTGGGTACGGGCCAGGAATGCTGCTAAAAAAATCCTGCAATCATGCAATGCATGGGACAGTCCCCCACAACAAAGAATTATCCAGTCCAAAATGTCAGTGGTACCAAGGTACTAAAATAACTCTGCTCTCTGGCTTCTAGTCCCTGGAGTCCCTTGGAAGATGAGATTATGTGCCATTTCTGGCAGAGAAATAGGGAATTGGTTTGGAAAGTACTAGAGCAGTTGTTCTCACCCTTGTCTGCTTTGTCAGGTCCTGGGCATCTCAGAAACTCCCCTGGGGATCATTTAAAAGTCCTCACGCACAGGCCACATCATAGACTAACTACATCAGAATCTCCGGGGTGGAGAATCCAAACATCAGGAATTTTTAAAGCTTCCCAGATGATTCTAATGAGATTGAGAATAATCAACCCTTTGGGGGCAGATCAGCCTGGGTTTGAAACTTCTCTCCATCCCTGATCTACTCTATGACCTTCTTTAACATCTGTGAGCTGCTGATTCCTGTTGGAAAAATGGAGAGCATCAGATTTTCAGTGGAGGGCTGGAGTGAGGGCTCAAGTGTCCCGAGTGCAAAGTTTGTGGGGTGAGCTTGGTGCATGCTGGGTGTCTCCTGACCCGGTGTCGGTGTCCCCAGAGTCAATGATGATATCAGGGGGGTCAGCGATTCTCAGAATAAGCGGGCTGGTCCCCCTTCCGGCCTTCACTCTGACTGCCAGGACTCAGCTTTCTGTCTCTTTCTCCCAGGTCAGGATGCAGGCCAAGGCTCTGGAGGGGCCACGCAGGGGACCGCGTGGGGCTGGAATCGGAGAGCCGGAGAGAGCCCTGGCCAGGTGTCGGAGCTGGATAGGACTCAGCTGAGCCAGGACCTGGGTGGGGGCACCCTGGCCATTGACAAACTGCCGGACAATGGGACCAGGGTGGTGGTGAGTGCTGGAGGGACACAGAGTGGGAGGGAAGTGGCGGTGGCGGGGGGTGGGGGGGTGGGGCCCTGGTGCCCCTTGCAAACTTCTCAGACCCACGAGTGTATCCTTTGGGGTCAATCCTGGAGGTCAGTGTGGAGAGAGGGCTCCCAGGGGAGGGGAAGGAAGCCCAGCCCAGCCTGGGTCAGAAAATCTTAGCATCTCAGAGCTTCATAGGCTGCCTGCCTTCTTGTGGACTCAGAGAGGTGCAGTGACTTACTCAAGGATGCACAGCATGTCCACAGGGTTCAGGACACTGGACTCTTCCACGTCTTAGGGCCTCCGCTAGAAGCAGAATGAAGGTGGCTATTACTAGTCACATTGACTGCCAGCTCTGGTCCTGTGCCTACCTCATTTCTGTACCATCTACAGACCACGTGGCCCCACAGGGTTAATGGTGTGACTGCTCAACCCCAGGGCAGGGCTCTCTGAGCAGAGAAGGCAATTAGAGTGGTGTGGCCGAAGAAAACCTCCTCTGCCTGGGGCAGTCCTGGGGCTGGTGAAGCAGGGAAGACGTGGAGACTGTGCAGTGCTGGCCGGCTTCCCGGCAGCCACAGAAGAGCTGACGGGGGCTTCTGTGTCTGGGGGGAATCTGTAATCACATGTGTGTCTGAGGGTTACTGTGTATTATGTACATTTGCCTGTGTGTCTGTCACCGTGGGCTGCTGTGTCTGTGATGAGTGTGAGTGTGTGAGAGAGACTGTATGAGCATGCCCGTGGTCACGAGCAGAGGCGGCCACGGCTGCAAGTGAAGAGGGTGGATTCTCAGCTGGCAGAAAAACTATAGAAGGAGAAGCAACACGAGGATGGGCATTTCTTTATGTTTCGATAACTCGTTTTTTAAATCCAAGAAGCACACGCAATCAAAAAGGTCAAATAGTGCTGAAGTCAGAAAATAAAACACAGCCGTCCGCCCCTCCGCTCTGGACCTGCCCACCCCTCGCTCAGAATATGCCACTTTGAGCTTTTCACCTGGCTGTTACCTCCGTGTGTTTCCAAGTAATTTGCTTATGCAGCTGCCTCTTGATAAATCTGTTTAGACATTATATGTTGATTGCCCATTGTGTAGATGAAGATTCACCTTCTGTATACTCCCCCAAACGTGGTTTAATGCTCTCAATATTGTTAAATCCATAGGCTCTGCTTTTTATCTTTATCAGGTAAATATTGTTCACTACTAAGCCAATCAGGGAACTATCCTTGTTTCCTTTCTTGCATCATTTTTGCTTTTCCTGCCTCCCACCCCCACCTAGTTGCTTAGATTTTTGTATTTACCAACAGTATATGTTCTTTTTTTTTTAATTAAATTTATTTTTTTTTAATCTTTTGACTTCACTGCGCATCATGTGTGTTCTTAATTCTCTGACTAGGAATCAAATCCACATCTCCCTGCACTTGAAGCACTGAGTCTTAACCACTGGACCACCAGGAAAGTCCATGGCTATGTATTCTTAAACATTCACTGGCCTCAAATATAATTTTTGGCACAGTCAAACCTGTCTCATTTTTATTTTTATTTTTTGGAATCTCTCTCCTGTCGTCACACTGCTCCAACCTGGCCTGGTGCTCGCCTGCCTGCCCGCAGCCACCCTGGAACTCCGTCTCTCTCCTTGCTGGGTGCCCTATCCTCTTGAACCTGTGTCTTTTCTTTCCTGCTTTGCTCCCTCATTTATTTAGCTTCCTGAGAAAGGTTATAGAAGAAGAGAAATTCTTTGGAGAACTTGTACGTCTGAAAATGCCTTTATTCTATCCTCACACTTGATTGATGGTTTGGCTGAATATAGAATTCTAGATTAAAAATAATCTTCCTTCACGGGTTTGCAGGCATCTCACATGGTCGTCTGGCTTCTGATGTCACCGTTGTGTCTGATGTCGTGCTTATGCTCATTGTAGATAACTGCTTTCCCAGAAGCTTTCAGGGTGTTACCTTAAGTTAACCCCAGCCTTCTAGAAGTGCCTGTCCTGACTTTTCTCTTTCACTGTGCTGGACAGTTGATGGGCTTTTTCAACCCAGGCACTTATATTCACCAGTTCTGGAAAACCTTCTTGTTTTATTGCTTTGACTATCTTCTCTCTTATTACATATTCAATTCTTTCTTCCAGACCCCTTGATTAGATGTCTATCTAAATTGATTCCCAAACTTTCTTCTCGCTTCTGTTGTCCCTCCCTTTGCATTTTTTGTTGTTTGTCTGTTAGTTGGCTTGTAAGTGGTATTGTTGATCCACTTTCTGGGAGATTTTCTCAACCCTTTTTTCTTTTTTTTTAGTATTTATTTATTTGGCTTTGCTGGGTCTTAGTTGCAGCCCATGGGATCTTTGCTCTTCAATCACAGCATGCAAAGTCTTAGTTGTGGCATGGGGGATCTAGTTCCTTGACCAGGGATCAAACCCCTGCCCTCTGCACTGGGAGCACAGAGTCTTAGCCATTGGACCATCAGGGAAGTCTCCTCAACCTTATTTTCTTAATGTTACCAATTTTTTTTTCTACTATCATATTTTTCATTTCCACGAGCTGTTTATTCTTTTCTTAAAAAAATAGTCCCCTATGGTTCTTGTGTCATGGGTGTAATCGCTTCTCTAAGGATATTTTTAGAATTTTAATATTTTTTCCTGCATCATTTCTTTCTTTCTTTCTGCTTTTTAAAGAGTTTAATGTAGGAACAGTATACACGGAGGGGCCAGGAGTGGGTAGGGTGAAGGAAGAGAAGATGTTAGGAGAAGCTGCAGCAGGGAGCAGCTAAAACTGTCCACGTGAGCCTGAGCTGGCAGGGAGGGAGGTTCCCCAGAGGAGGAAGAACTGTGCCACTCTGCCACAGGGGCTGCTGGGCAGGCCGCACCAGTGTGCTGGGAGAGGGACCTAGCCCGCCTGCCTGCAGCCTGGTAGGGAGGGAGCAGGGTAACACGTGCTCTGAACTCTCTCTCTTCATTGTTTCTGTGACTTACTTTTCCCTTTACCTCAGCCTCTGATGTGGCTTGGCACCATTACTGATCCTGTCTTTATTTAAAATGTCGATCTTTTGTTCATCATGGACTTTTCGGCATCAGTTGAACAAATTAATTTGATTTAAAAAAATATATGGCATTAAAATACTCTCTTGATGGCTGAGTTTGTTGATGCCACTTTATTATTTAAAAAATTTTTTATTGGAGTCTTGTTGATTTACAATGTTGTGTTAGTTTCAGGTATGTGTGTGTGTTAGTTGCTCAGTCGAGTCTGACTCTGTGACCCATGGACTGTAGCCCACTGGGCTCCTCTGTCCATGGAATTCTCTAGGCAAGAATACTGAAGTGGGTTGCCATTCCCTCCTCCAGGGTATCTTCCTAACCCAGGGATTGAACCCAGGTCTCCTACATTGCAGGCAGATTCTTTACCATTTGAACCACCAGGGAAGCCCAGCTCTAGGTATATATACAGCATAGTGATTCAGTTATACATACATATTTTCATTCTCTTTCAGATCCTTTTCCCATATAGGTTATCACAAAATATTGAGTAGAGTTCCCTGTGCTGTACAGTAGGTCCTTGTTGATTACCTATTTTATTTATTTATTTATTTTTGATTATCTATTTTAAATATAGTAGTTTGTGTGTATGTTAATCCCAAGCTCTTAATTTACCCCTCCCCACCAAGTTTCCCCTTTGGTTCCCATAAGTTCATTTTTAAAATCTGCAAGTCTGTTTCTGTTTTGTAAGTAAGTTCTTTTTGCTGGTGCCATTTTAAGGGTTAGACCGGAGGTCAGGGCCTCCCTCACCTCACCCTAATACCAGCCCTGAGGTGGAGCCTCAGAGAAGGCAGCCCCACTCGCTTCCCATCCTGCCCAGTCTTCTCCATTCTGCAGCACCAAGGAGCCACGGTGGGGTGACGGACCGGAGGGCCAGGGCAGGGGAGGCACCCCGAGGGAGGGAACGCCTGGAGGCTCACCCCTCCTCCAGCCCCCAGCTTTGCTGGGTCATCAGTTAAAGAACTGGTGTTTGCTCTGGGCCAGACCCCATGGTCAGAGGACCATGGCCCAGTCTGGGCAGAGAGGCCCTCGAAGAAGAGAGCCAAGGAGACGTGTCCTTCTGGAAGCAATTGTCTGTGGGCGTTCAGAAAGGGCAGTGGGGATCGTTAAGAGCCAGTATGGATTCAATAACCCCAGAGCCTAAAAAAACAACACAAATTCTCGGGCTCCACCCTGAACTGACGGGTTGAGAAACACTGGAGCTGGGAATTTGTTTCTTTAAGTCCCCCCATATGATCCTGATGGTTCTCTACGTGTGGGAACTTCTGAGCTATAACGTTCCACGCCAATTTTAAAATCCGTTACCAGAGTGATCACCGGAAGGGGAGGCTTTCTCAGGTGCCATGTGTCTGTACTTGATCACAAGACTTCCACTGCCCTGGGGGCTTTGTGGCCCCCCTCAACACATCAGGAGTCCACACGAAGGAGGACTTCTCTGGTAGTCCAGTGGTTAAGACTCTGTGCTTCTACTGCAGGGGTTCTATCCCTGGTTGGGGAACTAAGATCCCCCATGTCATTTGGTGCAGCCAAAAGGGGGAAAAAAAGAGCCCACGCAAAGGAGCACAACCCCACCCTGGCAGGAGACCTCTCTGACTGCAGTTGAGGTGTCCCTAGCTCTGCCCAGAAGATTGGAGGATCAAACTTTTACATCAGACTTCTCTGTCAGCCAGAAGAGAGTTCAGATGTCAGATTAGGAACCAGAAGCCCTCCTCTGTAGGCTGGATGATAGGTGGCCTCAGGCCAGATGAAACTTCTGGGACAAATATAAATCCTGGCACTTCAGCTTAAAATCAGGTGGGAGAGATGTGGCTTAGCAGCGGTTCATGAGGAAAAGAGTTGGAGCTCCTCACTGCTTGTGGGCTGAGATGAGTCAGGAGTGTGGAGTGGCTGCCAAGGACGGAGGTGGGAAAGCCAGCTGTGTTCATGGAAACCCACAGAAACCCCGGCGACAAGGGTTGGGG